TGTTACTAGAAGCGATGCACTTGTTCCTAGTAGCTTCTTGTTACTACAAAGGCGCACAAGAGTTGCTTGGATGGGATCCTTGATGACCCACCAGGGTTGCTTCATCCTTCATCCTTCATCCTTCCAGCATGACACATCATCTTGGTGTGAGTTACCTTCAAATGTCCAATGCCAACTAACTAACCGGCATCATGACAGACTCATATCCACTCATACCTCACATCAATTTCCAGACTCTGGCCGCCTGGCCTGGCCGCCTGGCCGCCTGGCCGCTCACCCATTTTCTGCAGCCACCGGTGCCGTCCTGACTCCCTGTCGCAATCTGCTGCTTCGCCGGCACCAGGCGTGAACAGGCCGTAAGCCGCACATCGGGTGCTCCCTGCAGCGTTCGCAGCAAGCGAGCTTCCCCAACGTGGCCCTCCGGCTCCATGGCTGCAAACTGGTCCGCCCGGCGTGGGAAGACCTAATGAACAGTTTCTGAGAGGTGTATATAACGTGATAATGATGACCCATGAAAACCAAACATCTTGGACCATGGATCAAATGCTGCAAAACATGTATCAATATTCGGCTGATCCCCTCTGCGAGATATATTTTATATACGCGCTATATTATATTATTCCGATGTCAGGGGTCCAAGGCCAGCACAAAAAATCAACGTGAAATATGCAAGCCTCCAAGCATCAATTTCAATAAGGCACGCACCATGTCCGCTGATGTGATATAGATGTTGCTCTTGAGAATGGAGAGGCGTTGTGTGATGATTCTTGGCCAAAAGAGCAGCGCTTGTCGACATGTTCACTCGTGATTCAGCCTGGCATCCCAGGTTTGTGGCCCAGCTTGTTGAGCTTACTGGGCGCTCAACGATCCCTGCGAATCCCGGATCTTGGACTTGGTCCAGTGCAGGGATTTCATCGTTTGCCCCATGCGTCATCCCGTATCATCCCGTGCCCCGACTCCTGGCCGGCTGGCGGTTCACAAACATGCCGCATAGCAACTTTCTATATATAGATAGATCAGATATAGTAGATACTGTAGAGAGATATACCAGCACCCTCCAACAGGTGCTTCCTGGTGACAACAGGTGCCCAGAAACCACCTGTTAGGGTCTCCAAACAACCTGGCCAGGAAGGTGCTGGTAGAGCGTGAAAGCCCTTGAAGAATGTGGTCGTCATGGCGGCACCGTGTCCCCTACCAACTACTGGACCGAAACTTCTTTCTCCGGACTTGGTTTCTCTGGCGGAGTGGAAAGCAAGTGCTCGGTCTGTCCGGACAAACTGTGCGTCGTCGATCTGTTTGTTGCTTTCAGAAGTGTTTCTGTGTGTTCCACCTACGACTGACGAATGAACATTGCATAAGTATAAGTATAAACCATGATAAACCATTTCAAGGACTCATGCTGCTGTTGAACGTGAGGGTTGCCACGCGCGGGCTTCACCCTCCACCGCGGTCCACCACCGCAGGTAGTCGCTTGACACTCCTCATGCCTGGCACCATTACAGCCGGGAGTGAAGTGCGGCCACGGAATGGAATTAAAACAGCTTTTGTAAACCATGATAAACCTCCCTTAAGAAAGACTCTTGACTCAGTTCCTCATCAGGAATTCAAGAACTGTCTTCCGGGCGTAAGTCAAGAATTCTGATCTCCCATCAATCCAGTGCATGCACTTTGCAATGAGGCTCGGCAACAGTAACAGCTGGTATAGTGTGTTATACTGTACCTGTGCAGCAACTTCTCGTAAAATCTTGGCAAGCTTGCACAAGCAATACACAACTTACGCAGTAGATTAGTTGCAAACATGCGCCCAGCTGGGATGGGACATTGTAATGTTTTGGCTGGTTCCTGCCGGCTCGACTCCATCAAGCGAGCAGTGGTGTCCGGTGACATCTCGGCCGTCGTGGTCCCTGGGCGTCACGCAGCAACTCCAAATTGGATTTGCATCGCTTTTGCTCAAACCATCGCCTATATTCACTCTCATGGCAGTCATCGTAGATCAACGGTTAAGAGAAACGGTATACCCCTCCCTCCAACAAGCATGGAACTGGACAGAAAGAATTGATGTTCCGAATGCAATTCACGGTGGGTTCTTCACTCAGCATGTTTGGTCAACACCTTCCATGTTTCGGTGAGCACGTTTCGCTCCACGTGGTGAATTGTCCATCTTCTGAGGCCCCAAACGGGTCTTTGTTCGCATCGTGCACCTGGGCGAAGGCCGAAGTAGCTCAGTAGCTCGGTCCGTGACGTGAGGCAATTCACAGAGCAGTGTGAGCTATGGGGGGAAAACAACAGTGGAATCAACAACTAAAGTACTTTCCTCATCATATGGCTGTCATGCTGGCATCCCGAGTTCTTGACCATTCCTCTGCCGCAGTGGGGTGAATGCCCACCTTGGCGTAGCACAAACTGGATCCCCAACTGGGGAGAAACGAGTCCAAATGCGCCGAGCAAATTCACATGTCTGTCACGTGGAAATAAGTGTAGTGAAGCTTGGATGAGCTCGATAGCTCCAGGTTCACCCAAGTCATGCTACCAAATTGTCTTGGACATCGCGCCTTTACAAACCTCTGACATCCGCTGACATTGGACCCTGTGCGGGTATTAGAATCATTGGAAGGGACCGCAAAGGTGAACATCAGTGTTTAGTGACGTGTAACGTGTATAATATAAACGCGTGCAGCATGAGACGCCGCATGCAAATGAAACACCGCCGCAGGCCACATCCAAACAAACCACCATCTTGGTTCACAGCTGTTGCATCAAAGTCTGCCTTGGTCGCACCAGCCTGGGCGCCGAAGGGGCTCAAACACGATGAAATGCTTCTTGTGTTCGGCACCTCCTTGGTCAAGTCATCTATGAGAGGAAGGGACATCAACATACTACCTGCTTACCTAGGAAATCACGTATATTATCCGACATATCCGATATCCAAAGCACGTTCTCTCTGAGGAGGCCGATCCCACCCGCCTTCATGGCGATGCCGATGCCCTGCATCATCTCTCCAGCTTCGGCACCCACCTGAGGGGGCAAGTGGAAGAAAACATGGATGTGGGGGGTCCCTATGTGAGCACATGCTTTATTGACATCGACATGACATGAAGTCTTATAAAATTCTAAAATAATAACATACCTGGAACTTCGTTACGGCAATAATAATTGCCGTTTTCATGAAACGTCGCCTTTTTCCGTTCTGCGGCGTTCTTCCATATTGATCTCATGGGGACGGCGTTTCTTGATGAACTGCGGCAGTTTCGGTCAGTTGACGGCAATTTTGGTCCACACATCCATGCGCCTCAAAGAGTCATTTCGTTTTAGTTTTAGTGCAGGCGAGTATGAAAACATTGTAGGGTCTTGCTTGAAAGGCAACTGAACGTAAAAGGCGTCTTATTATATCAGCAAACTCGCATAGTCATGTGAAGTGGAAAGGGCGGCTGATGGAAGTGTCACATGCTGGGTTTTCGTCGGTTTTCGCGGGTAACTCGACCTCTTGCGCGGCGTTGCAGAAGACTTTGCGTTTAAAGTTACGGCGTTCTTACCCGTACTTGCGGCGTTTTTCCCCGTACTTACGGCGTTTTTCCCCGTACTTACGGCGTTTTCCCCCCTACTTACCGCGTCGTTCCCTTACCCTGTCTAGGGTCACTCAAGGTGGCAGCAAGACTTGAAACAACATGTCACAACGATCCTTTCAGCCATTGCATCATCAAAATGTGAACAACCCTGCCGTGATGTCGATCGAGACCTTAGACAAGGGCTGCAACATCTTGAGAATTGCTACCATGAGGCTTGAAAACGATGAGCTCTACTTACAAGTGAAAAAGGAGAAGCCAATTTCAGGGTATGGACGGACCAAAACAATATCCTCTTTGGTAGATCAAACAAAACGGCGATTCTTCTTTTGTGACGGCGTTTTCACTTCTCTGACGGCGTTTTCACTTTCCAGGGATTGAGCTACGGCAGAAAAAATGAGTTACGGCAAAAATTATTGCCTCAACAGCCTACGGCAAAAATTATTGCCTCGGGAGGGTCTAGGTATGATATATATATATATATTATATATGATAACCATGTGTTTCTAGAGAAGAGCCGATGATTCACGGCACCCTTTTCAACCATCAAGTTTCAAAGGTCTCCCAACTCCTGGCAGTGCCAAGCTTTCGGTGGGTCCTGCAGGTCCGACACTAGGGCGCCCCACCATGTGGCAGCCGACCACCTGTCACTGTGCTTCCGCTTGGGATGCGTGGAGGCCCCACGATGCCGTCGGCCAATTGATGAGAACAATTGCGAATCCATCGTCAAACAGCGAATTGCTGCCAAGCATAACGAATCGGAGCTGCTCAGCAGAACTGCACTTGTTTCGGATGTCCCACGGTTTGATGTGGACCACCATCGGCTGATGGAAGTGCTGGAGGGAGTCCCAAGATCTTGGCAAAATCTTCTGTTCGGTTCTGTCCACGGTATGCTGCAGCTATCTATTCCGCCAGAATCTTGCTGTTCGTCACCGGGAACTGGCAAAAGGATGCGGAACATCCCCTCAAACCGTAGAAATTTTTGAGGTGCTACCCACGAATCCTTTGGAGATCTCACAGTGTAGGCAAAAACACACACACACACAAAATGATTTTCACCATTTGAGCGCGTGCCACCAGCGGCCCCGTGTTCGCGCGTCTTGGCAAATGCCTAGGAGCCGACAAAGCTGACCGACATGGCTGAGCTGGAACCCAACATCCGAATATCTCTGAACACCATTGATCTTTCAAAAGAACATATAACATATCTACAAAATTATACAACTCGCGTCAGCTCGATGTCTTTTACCACTTCCAAAGTAAGACTATACAAACAATGGTTTCACCGACAGCAAACCTTCAAAATCCAAAAGCATCCACCGATCAAGCGGTGGATGCAGGAGCCAGTGATGATCCGTTGCTTCCTAATGTGGCCCAATGGGGGCGAACCCAATGACCAATCATCTGCCCAGATGCGAGGCCAGGCATCTTCGGGCACCTGCAAACCGGGGCCCAAACGAAACTGGCAGGACATCCCACTGACTAAAGGAGGTGTTTGAGTTGATCTAGCCGGCCATGGCTACAGCAGCATCTCAGTTACCATGGCAATGAATCCACATGTATCAAATTCGTGTTCCAGGGGGCCAATTGTCCAAGCCACTGGATACCACTGGTCTGGGTCTGGGTCCTACTACTGCCATTCTCCCACAAGATCGGGGCTTCCCTCTCCACCACCTCCCAGCTACCCTCGGGCGCGCCACGCACGCCGACCTTCCCGGCATAGCTGAAGATCTGCCCGATGTGCTCCGCCCGTAGCGGGGCCACCGAGAGCTGCGCGAGGCGACAAAGGCTCGGCACCGACAGCTCACTCCAGCCTGTCACCTGTTGCCTGCGGCTGCCGGGGAGGTCATGGGAGGGGGGGCAAACACCCCCCCAACAAAAGCCCGGTAACTGGAAACCCCGTAGTTTTGGAAGCGCACCAAGGCCAAAGTCAGTTTGTGAGTGATTGCATGAGAGCCTCTGCAGGAGTTGGCATGCTTAAAACTTAAAACTTCTGAGATCTCAGCGAGACAATGAATTCAAGAACCACCTGCAGCCCTGCACCAATTGTAGAGATCTCAATGCAAACATCCGGTGTCTTGATGGCTTGATGATCAAGTTGTGATCCCGAACCCTCCCTTCATTACACTTGCAATCACACCGAAAAACGCACCCCAAAACCGCCGAACCCCCCAAAACAGGCCAGGCACCGCGCATACTCCTCCAGCGCCGAAAGCAGCTGGGCACTGAAGCGCTGCACGTGCTCGACGCAGCGAAACCTCTCAGCCTTCAAACGATGAAAGGCTTCGGACATGGCATCGTACCAGACCTCATCGGCTGCACCCGTCCTCCGGTCTCCGGCCCGGAACCGGGTAGCCCGCTGCCTGGTGGGGACCGGTGGGAGGAGCCCCAGTGTCGGCCTAGCATGGCCCAGAGACCTCATCCTCATGGTTTGTACTATTGGCCACCCAGGATCAATGACATGGCCAGCGTGCAAGGATCCAGGTATGTCATATATGTCTTACAATGTGTTAAGAATACAAATTCCATGTCACTGGCACATTGTATAACTCAACGGCAAGATTCAGAATCCAAGGGAACGAGGACTCTTGGAAGAGAGGTACGTTGGCACGTCCTACCTCCCCCTGGCATGCGATCTTGGCAACATCGACGGCGGGTTACTTACAGTAGATTTACTTAGTACACATATGCGCGGCCAGGTTGCACCTGCGTCCAGGTGTGAGGTGTAAGATGGTGTAAGTGCATATGTCTGCTGAGCACACAGAACACCCAAAATAATTTGCTTTCTTTCCCGTGCAGCCAACCACCACCTTCAAGGTCCAAGAAAAAAACACGGGGTCGTCCTTTCTCTCAACCCGCTGTTGGCACTAGTAATTACATAAAGTGTTTAGTGAGTTAAACAGAATCCAAACCAGGAAAGATCCTCAAACGGAAAGGGTACTCCGTTGCAGAGGACCACATGGAACCCCCAAAACCACGCCCGGTATGGTATTCGGAGCATGGTCGAAAGCACCGGTCTTCCTTCTCAGGTTCCATGGGATCGTTTGCGGGGGGTATGTTTGCAAGTTCACATCACCTCATGGTGCCAACCAAACCACACGGCCCAAGTGGCCCATCTTGGATCGGCACGCTGCAGGCCGTGGCACAGCAAATCCGCTGACTCATTCCTGGACGGCAGCCAAATGGTGGAAAGGGCATATCGATGAATTGAAGAATTACTTCATTGTGCGTGTGTCGGTGAAATGAAGAATGACTTACATAACTTACATTGTGTGTGTGTGTGTTTTTGGGATGCGCTTCTTGATTTTCTTGGTCAAGAGAATTTCTTCGGACGTGGGGAATGGCTTGGTTGACTGCATTCGTAGATGCCATCGGAATACGTGGGGCAGTGTTGCACCACTGACGTGCTGGAAGACTACGCCTTGGGGCATTGGAAGCCTTGGACAAGACATCCTCTAAGAGAGAATCGAAAAGAACTTCGTGGGTTTGAATAACGCAAGCAAGGGTGGAACTTGGGATTCTTGCAACGTCGATGAAATTGTCTCCCGTTTGCCTACCGCAGTATGCCCCACGTATGCCATAGTCAAGCATCTGGTAGGCTGACACAAAGTCCGCCAGGCAACCAGAGTATCCAGCGTCATCCTCCAGCACCCAAACCTTACAGCATGACATGGGTGAAAGGTGGGCACGGGGGCGATCGGGCCATCTCCGATTTGGAGAATGGCCAAAACCACCGATTCGAAGCCAAACAGTGTCGCGATTTCCCCAGAAGTCCAAGAAAAGCCACAGCAAAATAGCAGTCGGTTCAGTGTTGAAGCCACCTGGCAAACCCCCAAGAACCTCTACATGGATCCTCCAGAAGCTTGGTCTTCTAGACGTTTTAACAGTTAGCCCTTTGACACCACGTCGGAGACGGAGACCTCTGACAGGGCAAGGCCTTGGCGGCAGGGCCTCCCCGGAGAAACAATGGCGAGGGCTTGGCCAGGACAAGGAGCAAACTTTGGTTTGGAGCTGGCAGCTATAGAGCCTCAGCAGCTCTTAGAGCCCATGGGCTCCATGCGAAGCACACGCCACACAAAAACGCCGTGGAACGCGGTGGGAAAAGAACCCAGAAAAACCTGGCACGATCTGAGAGATGACCTCATTGTTATCAAAACCATTCAAAGCCTGTACAAAATATGCCGGTCGATCCAGAACGACACACTTTGTGATCATGTGGTTCTTGCACCTCTCATTCCCACCTTTTTTCTTGCGACTGAGACCTTCCCACAGGTTTTTTTGTTTATGTTTGTTTACTCTTCAAACACCTCCTGTCTCGGCTCGAGAAGCGCCACCACAGGAGAAGCGATTCAACGTGGAAGCACCAAGCCAAACTTTTCCGGCACGGTAGCTGGAAGCAATCCCATACCTGTTACAGGACTGAAAGTGAGCTGTGAGCTTGCTCTGCCACGCTGTGCAGCTCGGCCCGGTTTCAAGGGGGTTCGGCGCAAAACGTTGCTTGCATTTTTGGAGAATCCAAGAGGTCCTCTAGGAGAGCAGTTACACTCGATCTGATATCAAAGTGGGGCTTTGCTGCGGGCTTCTCTCTCACACACACAAACATGGTGACTATGCCAAGTACATACCATTATATGCCGAACAAATTGTTTTCAAGTTTGAAACCCTACTCAACTTTGAAACAGTATGTGTTATCTTTGTGGGGGGGAAATGTTTACTTAAGTGTATGTGTCACAATATATCATGTATACCATGTTCACTGTATCCATACTACCATACTGTCAAGTCCAGGTCCCGAAAGAATAGGATCCTCCAGTCGCAGGGCTCCCTGAATGGTGAAGCTAGAGCTCAAGTGAACCCAGGTACCCGGACCCCGCACCCCCAGAAATTCATTTACATGGAGCACTGGAACACATCGCATGTTTCATCCCAAACTGCTCTGGGAGGTTCGCCTCCTGCCGGTCCGGGAGCGCATCGCGGATGGCCAGCAGGGCAGGGAATGCCTGGGTCATCTGGGATTCGTCGTAGCCAAAGACCTCAAAACAACCATGAGGGCTGGGGCGATCGAGGACCACAAGCGACACAACCAAAACTTGCTATTAGAAACAACTAATGAACAAGTTGAACTCTGTATTTTAACAGTTAACAATAACAATTGAATTGCACAGTTCATAGAGAAGATCGAATAAGAGCAACGTCTGGAAGACTTCGAACACAAGTCTTGCTGTACGATCCTGTAGGTCTGTTTAAAGTGGTTTTGTACGTCGTGAGGACATGAAGTTGGTATCAAGGCTTCGCGCATCAGATCAGAAACAAGGCTCTTCAAATTGCCAGCATCCAGTCTTCAAGCTGTTAGTGTAGGTGGCGGAGGGGAAATTAGACCATCGAACAAATATTTATCGACTGCTCACCTGCTGCTACTGTCCTTCACCTCCAGCCCGCCCGCCCGCTTTTCAACATAATAAAGGACCGGTTCACCTTTCTGCCTTTCGGAAAGCAACCAAACCCATTGGGAACTCATGGGAAGCCAAGTGCTGAACTCAGTCTGGCATGTCTCAGAATGTGGCATTGCTCTTCCACGCCCAAGGCACTGAGAATGGAATCTCGTGTCCTCCAAAGCTCGCTGCACCTGAATATCCATGGCTCTGCAGGTCTCAATCAGTCTTGGTTTGTGCTTCTTGTCACTAGTAGCGATGCCCTTTATTACCAGTAGCTTCTTGTTCCTAGTTGTAATGCCAGGAGCTACTAGTAGCTTCTTGTTACTAGTAGCGGGGATGCTTGTACAAGTTGGCGCCAGAATCTCCCTACAACAAGGCCCTGACGCTGTCATTCCAAGTTCTCCAAAAACAAAAAACAACAACAAAAATGGGAAACCTCAAGTCCTGCTTTGCACACTACTACGTATAGTTCAGCCTTCCTCCCAATCTCGGCGACTTAAAATTTCTACCTGCCATATCCAGCTGATCTGTCACGGACACGCAGCCGGATAAAGCCTGTATATACAGTAATTATAGTCCTTAGGCCGGCTCTCCTCGCTAGCTAACTCGTCGCCCCAAATGCTGGCTGACTTGGTTCTTGGGATATATTTTGGGATCACTCGCTGAGCCCCATCAACTAACCTCCTGGGCACCGAGTTTGCCGCTCCCAGATTGGCCAAGGTGCTCTGCAGGCGTGATCGAAGGCTAGGGCCTGCAAGAACTGCTGTGACATATAACCCGTGAGTTTTAAGCCGTAAACAGAAACAGGTGCCAGAACAATCTCTAAAACGGCACCAATAGATCCCGATGCCGATAACTATCCCGTTGGTTTACAGTCTTGACATCTTGTATTACTATTTCAATAGGTTGTCGATGGTTGTCGCATCATTTTCCGACCAAACATTACCAAACAACCCGCCTTCGAAGGTCTCATCAGCCAAAATCCACAGTTCCACTGCCTAGGCCATCGGCTTGAATGGTCATCTTCAAATGCCCTGATATCCACCATAATCTTCGCTTTCTCTGGAAACCCAGGCTGGGAACATCAAAAACATCCAGGCTTATCGCCTAAACCTGGCCGAACTACACATCCCAACCTTGTAGCCATGAAACAAGCATTCATCGCTTTGGCAATGTACCCCAGCATTGACAATATGCTTCGGACTCCTTCAAACCAACCAATTTAGCTACCACTCACAGTAGTTGTTTGATGTCTGAAAGGGACTTGGAATGACTTGGATGTCTGAAAATGTCCCGCCAGCAGCAGCCAAACATTGCTTCAATATATGCTTCAATGTCCGCTGTCATTGACGAGATTGGTCGTCTTTGGCTCTGCATGCGTCCTCGAAAATCCTCGAATTTCTGATCCAAAATAATCGACCTCCTCCACTTGCAGGCCATGTCGCTGGACTTCTCTGAGCCAACTCATGGGACCAGCTGAGATGCCGCTGCAGCATCTGCTCGGTGGTGCCGCGCGACACGCGCACCACGACCACGGTGCGGCCGCCTCGCAGCGGTTAGTTTGCCGTGCGCAGCGGTGGCACCGCTAAGTGGGTGTTGGGATAGGGCGGCCAGGGTGAGGTGTGTTTGTGTAGGTTCTTGGGTTGGCTTCTCAAGACCCATGGATGGTTTGTAGGCTGCAAGAGCTAGTTGCGCTAGCTAGTTTCATCTAGTTTCCTCACAAAGCAAAATAGCGATACAGCAAAGTTATCCTACCAATGTACGTATCAGAACCCCCCGGAAATGCATACGCTACATCTGCGCACCCTCCATCAACGTGTGCACCCAGCTCCCAGCTCGGTTCATTGGAAAGGAGACGCCCACATGCACATCTCGTAAGTGACGAGCACCGCCGGAAGATGTGTTCCGGGGACTTTCCTGGCACTTGGACTCACCTTGTAGCTGGAGTCTTTCGTGCCCACCTCAACCTAGTGAGTGTTCCAAGGAGGCAGCACATCCCACTTGGACACGTAAGTCGCTCCTTGTCTGGGCACGCCACCAATCCCAAAGGAGGCACCACCTCCTTTTCTGGGCACCACATCCTTCCATTGGAACCTCCGCATACCACGTAAGTCTCACCCCGCCTGCGTGGGGCGCACAGGACCGACTCGCCGGACTCGTCGCCTCGTCGCGCGCGTCGACGGACCTCCGCCTGCGAAGGGAAGACGCCGCACTCGGGCGATCGAAGGAGTCCATATAGGAAAGGCACATGTTTCGCAGATGTCCGAGTTTAGCACAATATGTCCTTCTTAACGATATGTGACAAACGCATACATGTTCCTTCTCAAGGTTTTGAAGGTTTTGAGTTTCGCATATGTTCGCTTTCTCCTAGGCGGCACATTCCCAACACAGTCCGACGGGGGTCATAGCCACAGCCATCAGCAAGCTGATTGGCCCCTCGGTCAGGTCATCCATTCTAGGTGTGTCTGTCGCATCACTCCAAGGGTCTTCCAAACCATCCAACCTTGCCCGGAACCGGAAGCTGACCCCCTTCAAACATGCAAAGGACATGCAGACGTCGTTTCTGATTGTGAAACACCACTCCCTTATTTTGAGACCGTACAGGTACGCAGCCCAGTGGGAGCCTGGGGGTATTCTAAGGCGATTGGCCGTGTGGAGCCTCTCTTCTTTCCTGTTGTTTGAGTCTTTATGTGCTGCCTCAACTGCGCCCAGTGCGCCCTTCGATTGGCCCAGCAGGCCGCAGGCGCAGCAGGCATGAGGCACACACGAAGCAGCGCTACATGGCTAGCACGAGTGAAAAGGATCCATTCTCCAAACAACTATTGAGGTATGGGCTGGGTCGAAATTTCCCGTCCTTCGAAGTTCGAAGAGGATTGCGGTGGGTGGACGCGCGAGCAGCACTGGTTTGGGCATCCGTGACAAACACCAGATCTGGGATTGGCATGGATTGGCTGGAAATAGAGGCAGTATGAGGCAGTAACATGCGTCACCCTTTGGCGGTGCTGTATGCACATTGTATGACAAGTGAGCCACACGCAGGGCTTGCAGGGAAGAAGGGGACGAATTGAGCATCAAGGCCGCAAGGCCCATGCCACCAATCGATACGTGCGCACACGTCCACCCGACGGCCCTTCCCTGAAACAGGTTGGTTGACCAAACATGAACCGATTCCGATGTTTCGGCCATGTCAATCTGGCTTGGTTGGGGGAGGTGCCCTGACTCACATTCTAGTTTCATCGATGCTGAAGCAACCAAGTGCCAACTCTATGCCCAGCCATGCCTCCGAACCGTTGTCACACTTCTTGACGGTCGGACGACGATGCTTCAATCCAGACCTCACTTCGATTCCGCCGGATTCTGTTCTCCTGCTTGGTGCAGCTGCTTGACCCTAGTTCATCCTAGAACCCCACGGGGTGGTCTCTGGCAAAAAGCATCAGTTCATATCAGTTCTTGGTTCTCCCAGCCCATTGATTCAGTCTCCACTTCGGGGATCGATCACCCAAGCCATCGGTAGGCCGAATCGAGCAAGTCGCGAGCACAGAAACCCCAGGCCTTGCCCGCGTGTTCAAAGCCCTCGCTGACGCAAATGAGCTTCATCATCATCTTCTCCTCACAGCTGGCGGTTCGCAGTTCTTAAGTCTTAACTGGTCGGCTGCTTCACGGTGAAACTCGAGGGGAAGGCCACCACGAACGACTAAAGCAAGCTGATCAACCACGATGGGGGTTTCGCATAGACCTTGCGGGGTCGGTCGTGCATTGATATCAGTTCGGCTCGGCAAATCTCAGTGCAAAGGGTCCAAAGGAAGCTTCCCTGTTAAGTTCACCGCCCTGTGACCCCCTGTTGAGTCGATTGTTTCGACAGGTGTCAGGCAGGACTTGGACCTCAGAGTTTGCACAACTAGGAGGATGGTGAGGCAACATCGATCTAGATCCATGTAGAACAATAGAACAATTCAAGTTTTGGAGGAACTAAGCTAACTAAGCCACCAAACCAGCGCCAAAGGACCAAGGTTTCGATTAAATGGAAGAATTGTGTTAGCCTTCTTCCACATGTACAAGTAGGACCCAAACAAGCGAAAGGGAACGTCTATGGAGCCATATGGGTTCCGAAGTGCGCTAAAAAGTTTTGACGAAGGACTTTATTTAATAAAATCCTTTCGAGCTGAGGTCATTCCCTTAATTTTTCTATGTGCCAACGTTGGCAGCCAAAAAAAAAAGGCTAGCTTTTGAGCATTTATGGAATCCCGCGCCAACGTGTTTTATGGAATCCTGTACCAAGGTTGCAGGAGCTAATGACTAACAAACATATTGGCGTATTAAATTCTTGGTTAGGGGGGTTGCCAAGCGAAGGTTCTGGTTCTTTTTCAGCGTATGCTCTCAGTCGCCTTGCTGGGGCAGAGTGCTGACATGATTCTTCAGAATCGGGCCATGCTTAAGTCTATTGTAAATTTTGGTTTGTTTGTCCTTCATGCGCGTGCATTGCTTGTTTGTGACCATAAGATCAAAACTAAAGGTCAAAAGCCAACCAGTTGTTATGCCAGGCCCACTCCCGAAGCACTCAACCACCTACGGCTGCCACTCTTGGCTGGGACGCGTGAAATCTCAACAGGTAGAGTGCAGGCATGATTCCTCAGAATCTGGCCGCGTTTGAAGCTATGCTTGTGTTCTTCCGAGTCCTCGATTTATGTGTCTGTATTGCTTGCTTGCAAAACTAAGAGCAAAACCCAAGGTCGAAAGCTAGTGAATCGAAACCAAAGTGCTTTGTCTGCTTGACTTTTTGATCGGGCTTGAGGGCGAATGTGATAGGTGGGGTTTCGTCACCTTTGTTGAGAACCAACCGTACAAGTGCCCTTGCCATGCGGTTTGCATGTGCGATTCCTCCGAGGACCAACGTTGCATTTGCCGACTGTCAGCGAACGGTGCCACTGTTTTCATCTATTCTCCGTTCTTTCGTGAAACTGGCGCCCTAGAAGCGCGAGAATCTTTTGCTCGTCAACCGTCGCCCTTGAGGATCTGAGAGGTTTGTCGGCGCGGTCAAACCTGTCACGTTTGGAGTTCTTGAAGTATGTATCCCCAGAACCTACAGCTACAGCAGTGGCCCTCGTTCAAAACATAGCAGAACAAATGAAAATGAAATCCTGGCCTTGACCTAACTCTATAAAGCAAAAAACAGCAAACAAACAGTTATAAAATCCTGTCATTAACATGTTCATGAGGGTCAAAAGTCCCTAGGATGTTTTTTTCAACGCGTCTTATTTTGTCCTGCACCAACATCTTGCACCAACATCCTGCACCAACATTTGTTTTTTTTGGAATCCTGTGACTGGGTCCGGTACAAGAAAATTTATAAATAATTAATTGTCCTTGACCTCTGGGAAAAAAGTATGGACTATCAATCCCATATGGAGTCATGGAAAGTTATATATTACAAATTATATTCTATTACCAGAAAGTTGTCCTCCGTCAGAGTTAGAGACTTGCTTTGTCTTGAATTGACCCCTGCGTGCGTGTGGTTGTCCTCGGCTGAGGCTAGTCTTCCCAAGCAGAATATCCCTCGACTGACCACTCTGTCTCCACTTTTCTGCTCTCATGCGTCGGCTTTGGTCTGACTCGTGGAAACTACACCGCTGTAGATTCGTGGGCCTCCCTCCGTCTGGCTCACGGCCATCATTCCCATGCTTGTCATGGGGCAGCCGCCTCCACCGCCTGAGAAACCCCCCGGCGGAGCTGAAGGAAACACGGGTTTGGATGGTTTTGATCTCCGGCAGGTAAGGTTTGGTGCGAAGCATGACTCTTTGAACCAAGAGCCCTGAAGGGGACTCAGCAATTGCGAAGGGAAAAAGGTGTTGATCTCAAGTCCACCAAGGAGGCCCAAAAAGGTAGGGACCGATTTGGTTCCATGTTCCTCCATTGAAGTCGTTGGATCGCGTTGGTGGCCAAAATGGCGGAGCTTCCGGATCAACATTTATCAACAGGCCAGGCGTCACCATCGAAAACACAGACTTGCACTGCACTGAGGCGTGGTGGGGGTGACGACCCGGCGAGGCTCCTGGTGGCATACGTCATGACCCGAATAGTTCGACCGCGCCTGGGTGCCGGCTGAACTTGGGCGCACCCAGCGCGCTCATGCGCTGCAACTCCTCCTCCTCGCTGTACAGGTGCTTCGGGCGCACGGGGAAGCCATGCCTGCAAGGGCAAGCCAATCGCAAACAACGTAAAGGCTGCCTGCTTGAGGCTCTCCCCCCCAAAGCGCCCAAACATTACTTCCCAACATGTCCCCGAACCCTGTTACCGTTTGACGAAGCAAAACCATGTCACTTCAGTTCGATCTTCATGTGTCTTATGCCCTCCACTTCATCCGTTTGTCGGCCAGTCGGCCGTTGGTTCCGGACCGACCACCCCGGTCCACATGGCCCGGTTTGTAGAGGAACATCGTCTTCCAGTCTGGTCCATTTCCAGGGTGTAGTGCAGGGTAGTCCGGGTCCTGGTAGAAATTACGGAGAAAAGCGGTGTTATGATGTGGGTGAGATTGGAGAAAAACGGTGGTGGGTTATCTATGGTTCCCTCTCGACGGATCTACTGCATGATGATTGATGATAGTCCGTAAAAAAATCCCGCAAGTACTACTTCAGGGACAAAAATATGTCAAGTAGTCCCATCTCCGCAGGTTGTGCTGGCTCAAAAAATCACCAAGTTTGCCAAGGAGCTCGTCTAAGCAGGGGTTCCGCCGCTGATTGCCTTCAGGCAGGTTGCCTCATAGACACCGCGAAGATACGCGAAGCATCCGTTCGAAGCAGCAAAGGCTTGCTAAAGATAATGTACTGGTCTTACATTAGCGGGTCGACGGTCGAAATGGCTTCAGGCAGCTTCCAACTAAGAATTAAAGAGCCCGGAGTTTCATCAAGTGAAACATGATATCAAGTAATATTATATATTATATATGATCATCATCGAATCGTCGAGTAATAGCGGAACAACTAACTACATACAAGCACACGACCCCACAAAAATAATAGAACATCATAATAGAACTTAAGATTATAGGATAGTAAAAACATGTGAAAACCATCTGGTGATGTCCTGCTAGGGCTATTTACCGGGTAAAATTTACCGTTTATCCAACGTCCTCTGATCCGTCCTCCGATCCGCTCTGCACAAATGTTGAAGCCATGTGTCTTCAAGGCCGACCAACAGGGCCCTGCTATGGGTTCCACAGCATTTCACAGGAAAAATCGCTCAACAAGAGCTGAGAGGCCGTAGGTATTCATCTGCGGCGGCTCGGGTAGCTTGGACCCCACTTTGGCCCCAGCGCTCAGCAGCACTTTCTCGATGCCGGGATGCCTCACCAAGTCTGGTCCAAGGAAGTTCATTCTTCAGTTCTGTCCAAGGAAACCCCTTCAAAGAGAAAAAGAATAAGCCTTTTGGGCTACGGATGGGGATGGCATGAAGTCATCTACAAACAAAAACGATAGATCCGATATGATAGGTGTACAAGAAGCAAGACTTGCGGCAGCAGGTGCTTTACCTGATAGTTTGCTGGTGAATGGCATCGAGCTTACACCGGTGAGCAAAAATTAGATGTCTTTTCTTGAAGAGTATGGCCGGTGGGGCAACTGAAGGTCTGATGACCACCCTTTTGAACTTCTTGGGTCATCAATTAGTGGTCCTTTTGCTACATCTCTCCCGCCGCCCGCTCCAGCGGTCGTCCAGCCTGGGCTGCTTGTGCTTCTGCGGATCCCTTTCGGAAGGAAGCGTTTCCTCACGTGCGCAGCGAGCTGCACCCACGTGGCTTTCGCCGCCATCACGGGCCACTCGGTTCTTCAAAGATTCACCGCCCTGCAGTTTCATTGAGCAGTGTTAGACTCTACCCCTGGCTGTTGACGGTGTACACACCAAAAAATTGTAAAAAAACACATATACATATAAACTAGACCTCCAAACATGTTGAAGCTTTAATGCTCAAGAACCACCTGACAGAATGAAGTACTGAAGTACCTCTTCCCAGAAAACCTAAAGCAACGAACACTACCCGCGGTACTGAACATGAACACATACACGCTAAACATATTATCGGGAGGCAATAAGTAAGGCAAGCAAAAAGAACTATAGCCTCAGCCAAGTACAGTATAGATAAGTATTGCAACTAACTTGGGTCAGGAAGGAAAGGCAAACATCTAGAAAGGGACATGTCACAGTGATTCTCAAGCCAACCTGTTCTCCACTGATTGTATCTGATTCAATGGGTAATCCCCTACACTTGACATTGAGATCTCTGGAGAACTTTGGGGGGCTACCCCAGCTGCATTGAAGTGGCCCCAGCTCTGGCAATGTCCAGCGCCGACCAGTAGCTGTAGGGCCCACTGGAGGTACAGCAGCAACACACCTCGTTGACATTGGCCCGGGCCTCCAAAAGGACCTGGACGCTGCCCACAGCCCACACCCCAGTCCAACAGAAAGTTCGAGCGGTGGTAGGTGATGTATTGATATGAAAGGCCTACCAGGTCTACCAGATCTTAGCCAATTTCAGTGGGTTCGCCGTGGAGCCCCAGGGATGTGAATTTGCCTGACTTTCACCACCATCATACGCCTGGAGGTTCTCTCTAGAAAGGCATAGCAGCATACCCAAAAGTCAGGTTTCGAGTCTACACACCACTCAGTCTCCATCCCCAGCTACACCCACCCAGCCTGAACCACCTCGTCGTGCCCAGCAAAGACCGCCGCAGTCAAGGGAGTCCAATCAGTGCAGAACATCCGGGAGGAGCCTCCGGACCCCGTCCCCGACGAACGGTCCGGAGCCGGGTCTGACCCGGAGGATTCCTTGACGGTCCACCGTCACAGCGCCGGGATCGATGGCCGAGACCGAGGAAGGAACCACTTTTTGGGTGTTGGAAGGAAAATGCCATGCACATCATTCGTGTATGCAACATGTATTCTCCAGGTTGTGCAACACATAAGAGATTGGTTGACATGATTTACAGTAAACATATACCATCATATACAACACAATATAGGTCTGACATGGTCTGACACAGGTCCATTGGGCAACCTGCTCTTTCAAGAATTGGAGATGATATAAGATAGATTCAAACCTCATGGCTCTCAAGTAAATAGTCCGTAGCCAACGGGTGTGTCTCAAAGTAGGGTTTCGCAAACAGTAGTTAAAGCACTCAAGAAAGACATTGGATGTAATTAGGTTCTGGTCTATTTGGGGTTCAATTGGAGATGCGCGTTAAACATATGTTGCAATTATCTTGCATGTTTGATTGGCCGACATGAAATGAAATGCGTGTTAGTTAATTTGCTGCCTAAGGTAAAATTTGCTGGCACAAGCCTGCACTAGATGTCTGGTCGTAGTGTTTGAATGCCTTGGCCAGAAAAGCACAGCCAGGACAGTTCAACATGAACATGACATGTCTTTTTCAGTGTGTCATGCTCCATTCTGATCGAGGGGAGACAAATAAAGCCTATTGGGCCGCTCATATTTTAACACTGAACTGGTTTCAAAGAAGAAACACGGTACATCCCACATTCTTCCACCAACACGCTTCTACCAAAATTCTTGGCTCTGCAAGTGGGGCCAAGAGTTGGGTTGAAAAGGTTGCTAAGTGACTCATCATCCACGGATTTCAACAATTATCTCCATTAAATGTCTCCAGCTGCACCTGGTCCCATCCTGCAGTTCGTATGAAAAGAATGTGTCTCGCTCTTAGAATCTTAGAATGGTCTTGGATGTCCCAACGCCTGGGTAGAGCCGGAACTCACTCGCGTACACATTCACCTCGACGCCTGTCGAGGGCGCAAAAGCATGTGTCAAGTCTGTTTGCAGCTTGCAGTGCACAGGACCCAAGCACACAAAGGTACTCCGAGAACCCTAAAGTTTACGCTTCTTACTCTGTTCCAACATGACACTTGGCGGTCTACAGCGGATGGGATTGACACGTCCATTTTGCCAGGTACAGCACGGTCAGATTTCCACACCCGGTTAAATCTATATAAGGCTTTCAGGCGTGGAACTCTGACCGCGGCGTCGACATGTTGCACGTAGGAGGGACAAGGGGAAAGGGTTTAGTCCTGTTTTAGAAGTTAAGAAGCGCAACTTCCGGCACCCGTGTTTTCAAAACCATATATAACCATGCACCTAAACCTTGAGACCAACCGAAAGCGATCTACTCGCAAAGAAACTAGTTCGAACACTTCCTGGTCTGCCATCCTACAAGGTTCAATTAGTTTCCTGCAGGTGTTTCTACCACAGGACAGGCAGAACCTGATTGAAGAAGGAGAGGGGATGCGTATGGATGTGTCATTGTGACCTTAACTCCTACACCTCCATCACCTCGGATCTGCTCCACTACGCGTGCTCCTGGATCCCCTCGTCAGTCTCCACCCTCCTCCCGCGGGGTCGTTCGACGGATCCTGCACGGGGTGCCGCCTCGCTGCAGCAGCGCCTTCAGCTCCAGGGCCGAGCCCTCTTCCGCCCGCCGCAGCAGGTCCAGCTGATCGACGCGGCCTGGCACCGGTGGGATGGGCGCATGGTCTTACCGGCGGGTTGATACCAAGGGGCCGAAGGCCGCCGAGGTGAGATACAGTAGATATAAAGGATAACTCAGACTGTGTGTAGCTTTTTGTATGCCCTTAGTGGACAACGGCTGTGGGCAGTGAATGCGGCCCACAAGTGCCACGTGTTCAAGTGAGATGTTTTTGGGCAACTCAACACACAAGCTTGCCAGTTGGTGTGTCTGGCGAAACCACACGCGTGCAGCTCGGCTGAGGCACGACTTGGGCGTTCTTCTTGCTGAAAGAAAATTGGCTTGACGTGGCTTGACCATGAATCAAGCAGATTGGCGTCCCTTCGATCGGACGTGTGGGCCATGTTAATCATCTTACTTTGAATCACCAGTCACGATCCAAGGCAACACCACGGGCTCTTAACCTGCCTCCGGTGCCTGTGGGCTCGTCCCGCTTCACCGGGTGCTGCTCTGCATAGCCACCCACTCCGGGCAGCTTGCTGACGGGAGCTCCACTCCGCCCTGAAGCAGGGACTGGGAGGTTGATGGAGGTTGGTGCTCGGCAGGAGGCCGTTGGCTTGACTCCAGAAACACCCACCCGGTCTGTGAAACGCGCGGCAGGCAAACACGCGCGGCAAACCCAACCTGGGCAAAGAAGTCCAAAAAGGGCAGCTCTAGGAAGGTGCTACCCGACCCCCCAAAAATGACTCATATCACCCATGCGCTTGAAATCGATCCATTTGTAAACAACGGGAGATCAATCCCAGGCAGATGCAGGCGGAATTCATCCCACCCGCCTGCACTGGGCTCTGGCGTGGACACGTCAGGCGTGGCTTCATCAAGCTCCCAGGGGAGCTTGGGGCCATCGGCCGTGAGGATGTAGGACATGAAGCTCTTGTGGGATGCGAGGGTTGAAGGTTCAAGCTCTTTTTTGATTGAACCTTTTTTGGTGTGGGACAACGTGCCTTTCTTTGGTGAAACCAAGGAAGCCTTGAAGAGAAAAAGGACAGGCTTCAACAGCTCTAAGGTCGCTCAAAGGGACTGAAACAAATCCAATCTGAAGGTTTCCTTCAGTTGGAAACAGAATGGTTTGAACAACCCTATTCTGGGACATCTGCATATTCGATCTGTTGGTGCCGTTCGGCGCAGGTGTTCATGTACAACCCGTCAACCTGTTCCCTGTTCCTCCTTTGGCTCATGGACCCAAACTTCGCATTCTATGTCAAGACCTAGCTGCTAGCCGCTAGCCTAGCTTCTCACCCGCTGGGCCTCGACCAAGCAACTCCCGATGCCGTGGCGCCACCGATCCACAGACCGGGCACGTCTACCAGACTGGGTGAACAATGAACCGACCGGTTTGACCAGCTCTGCCACATTGCTGGGACAATTAACGACAAGCTCTTCCCTTGCACAAGTCATTTCAGTCTTCGAGTCTTTCGAGTCGATGTTGCCCCATGCCCCTTTTGGACGTTTTGGTCAGAAACCGCCTGCCTGAACTGAGCCTGGCTGCTCTGGATCCACAAACCTTTTCTTCACCAAAGGCATCAAATGCAAACTCGTTGAAAAAACACCCAGGAACGAACATAATAATAACTTATTCCTATTCCTCTGTTGTTGCCTCTTAGTGAACTGACACAATGGCCATGGTTCAGCCAAAGCATATGGCAATATGCCGTGCCTCAAACTCAGGGGCAAAGACATCCTTACTCAAAACTCATACACGCACAGGTCAGGGAACTTTCAGCGTTTTTCCGTGCAGGGGAGGGCGATCGGCGACCCCCACCCAACTCCCGACCTTGCCCCCAAATCATGCTCGCTCAAAAAAACCATCTTGGCAGGCCTTCTGACTCTCCCTCTCTTGGATTCATCCTCCACTTTAAGGTGACCAAATCTGGACGCAAGCCTTCCCTACTGTCTCCTCTTCCCCACGGCCAGTCGGCATGGTGTGCTTCATGGGCTTGAACCTCAGCTAGGCTCGAGAAGTTCGACCACAATGGCAAACTTGTGCCAAGCAGGATGAACGCACAATTGTCACAACCGGCCAATCATCGCAGCCAACCACTGAATGAACCCCAAAGTGATCATATCACCACAGCATGCACGAGTCTTGGGACTCTTGCTCAGCCTCTGCACTGAGCCACCGTACTTCGTGACATACACATCCACGCTGCCATACTTCTTTGCCGCCGCCTCCTGCCAAGCAGCTGGTGACCAAACGCATGCGGATCATATGAATGTGAGAACAATATGGAACAATCTCCCCCGGGTTCCAAACATCGAAATAGCCGTAGCTAGCAGCAAGCAATGATGTAGCTCGAGGCTCTAGCCGGAGGATGATTGGCCCATATTGGCCCCTTTGGTGGATAAGCTGTCTAATCCGCTGACTATGAACTCAACATCCCTCGCCAGCTCCCTCGGCCTCGGTGAGGCCGCACGTGCCACAGGGCGGCTGGCTGAAGATCGCACCTGGCAGGGCGAGGGCGAAAGGGAAAAAAGCCATGGATGGGTCTTAGGGTGTGGGGTTCCAACGGCCCATGGCTTGTGTGGGGACTTGAGGTGATGGCGACCTGCAAGGTCTCATGGGTCAAGTGGCCGATACTTGGATTGGCCGCCTTCATTCTTCACTATAACCAGCATTGCGCTGTCTTGACTGACCAAAGGGTTTTCCCTGTTGTATGGTGCGGACTTTCCAAGTGTGCTTGCTCAAATGAGTTGGTCTCCCAATTCTGGAATTACAATCTATCCAATTCATGGAAATGGATGGCTCGCTGGAAGGCTACGCGACAAGCATTGAGAGCTTTCAACAATTCTGGGAGGTCTATGATTTCACTGCACGGCTTCGCCATCCCTTCGTTGCGCTGGACCGGAAAATGTTGCCGGCACTGAGGCGAGGCACTGGGCACGTTCTCGTAATCTGGCTTTCCAGGCTCCTGGCACACGCAGCTTGCTTCAAAACAAGCACGAACATCGTATCATTGCAATAGGTTTGGGATGCCCATTGTAATTACACTCCTGGAAGCGAAAAAAACAAGTTTATCCAAAAGAAGAGAGACTACAATCCCATGCCCAACGGTCCCCGACCCGTAGGCCCAGACTTCACCGACCCGAAAACCAGTTTTCCTGGAGGCTCAAAGGCCGAATGCGCAGAGAGAAACAAGTTTCTACAGATTCCAGTCTGTTTGCTTTCAGCTTGGTGACTGCTCACCCACGTGAGTGTGACTGACTGACTGCTTGCTGTTTGAGTTTGGTGATGGGTCCCCACAGGTCCATGTGTTTGCCATGGTCTGGGTCCTCCCAGTTTTCGGCCCTCCCAGTTTTCCACCTCGGTGAACATGGTCTTTGCCATGGCCATCCCCTCCATGAGGGCCACAGGTGTCAGCTGGATCCGGTCGGTGACATCCTCAGCGCATCTGAAGCGCGTCTCGCCGCGGAGGTGGGCAAAAAGCAGCCACAGGTCCGAAACCGGACTTTGGTGTCCAGTTACTGTGGTAAGAAGATGTAAGAACATGGAGTCCGTTCCAAAGATCCGGAGATCGAAGAAGAGTGGGACTTTCACCACGTTGGTTTCCGGAGCAGGTCGAGGCGCAAGAGAACCGCTCTCGCATTGAGCTTTAAAGGTCGTTCCACATGTTCCCCGTAGCGCAAGCTCTGGTCCTTTGATGTCTGAAGACTGATTGCACGACCATGATCTAGCGAGACCAAAAAACCCAACGATCATCCTCAACCCCAACGATCATCAAGGAATCCCCGAAGCAAGTGCCGCTAGATGAAACACATATGTTTGGTCTCATCCCGGTGTTCGGTCTCATCTGCATCATTGGGCTATGAAGGTTCTCCAGCAAGATATTGCGTCAGCACCTACTCCACGTGACCCGAATCTGCCCTGACCAACTGCGAGAACAACGGTCCCGTCGTCCTTAATTGCAGGTCAGCCGCGCCGATCGCAAAGATGCTCTCCACATTGGTCCGGCTGAATTCATCAACGATAATCTGCAAGTCGTCAGCGAGACCGAGGGCAGTGTGGCTACGTATGGTTGGCTGAGTCAGTGCACGCACGATGGTGCAGGTCGACCATGTGTCAATCGATGATGGATGATCAAGAAAAACATACAAAAACAACATTCATAAGTACATGCAAATCACTGCAATTGGAGCATGACACAGAAAGTGCCTGAACACATTGAGACTCATCATAACTCTGCAAGATAATGGTCAACTTGCTTGTATAATCCAGTGCCAGTCTGTCATGCCTGGGTTCATGTTCGATTTCCCAGCTTGGTTTCTCTTGAAGAATCGCCCAGTTAGACAATCAATTAGTAAAAGGATCATTCACTGAGCAAGTCCGAGGTAAATCTCGCAATGCTGTTGCATGTAGCCTCCAAAAGACATGCCACAAAACAGATCGACCGAGTCAGTTTTGGATCCGAATGCTGAGCACCTATGGGTATTCGGTACTCATGTGATTCGTGCAGTCTACTCTGAACCTATACCCATCTATACCGGCGATGCTCATCCAATACCTGTGACTTGTGGCTCTCCATCACATCGAGCCTTTTGTTCTCACCTCAGCGGTGCCGTTCTTCGGCTGGTACCGTAGCGTTCTTCGCCACGTGTCTACTGCAGACATCGGAGAGGCCCCAAAGTCACCAAAGACGTCTCCAGCTGTGCTTGTTCCACACTCTGCCCATCGGACTTCAAATAGTCCTAGGTGTATGTGGCCAAGTCCATGAAACAAACGGAGAAACAAACCTGGCAAATCCTTGCAGAATAGAACAAAGAAGTCCTGGAAAGATGTGAGATATGATATGAGTGCACTTCACTTGAATTGAAGTATGGTGGGGTGACAGAACGAAGGTCCATGATTGCATGGCTGATTGACATTCATTTACTCTACATCTGGCCAGCCACGCAGTCTTACACTGAGCATTATGTTGTGTTTCGGCCTATTTTGTTGAACACCTTCACCTTAATTTGGGCTCACCCCCACGACAGTGTAGGCATTTTCTGTCCGACAGGGTGCTGATGTTTCTCCCTTTCGAGCACCGGCCAAGTTCAAAAGCAAACAAGCTACAATGAAGGCCAACTGTCCATGAAAAAAAGAACGACCCCTCCCATCCTCGCAAATTGCAAAGGTGTATTTCTCGGCACTTGCCGACGACCATTTTCTCAGCACAACAAAACCATGCAGGTTAGGCAAAATCAGAATGTCAACTTTGGCGAACTACAGCATTCCGAATGCCGCACCTGCACATATCTAGACCACCATTTGCCAATATCTAGACCGCCCAGAAATCATGTAAATGCCGACATGGCCATCATACAAAAGAGGCTGCTTCGCGCTTAAACCCCGCCGTTTAGCCGTCTTTTTCACCCGCGTGGACCCGCTGTACCGCCCAGTTGCCACGGGTGTGAACTCTGCAGCCGCTCGGCTCTTCGCCAGCAGCTGGCCGCGTTGGAAGACTTCGGCGACCAGCTCCGAGCAGAAAAGGCTTGAGAGATCCGTCGGGTTCGCGCAGCAGGTGGGCTCCAGCTGATCGCAGTAGGAACCCATGAAGGTGACCTGCTTTGGCAGCAGGTGCGTGTGAGCAGCTGTAGCTATAGACAGATGGTGTGTGGTGTGTGGGCATATCCAAGGAGCGACATGGGGCCCTGAAGGGTGGAGGGTGGATGGGTGGATGGGTCTGTACATGATGAGTATGTGCACTCACCACCGAGGTTTGGTCAGGTGAAGCTACAGGTACACTCCCAAGAATGACCACCCAAACCTTAGTGAACTGCTGATTGATGGAACATTTGATTCCTTCAGGTCCCTGCTCGCCCCCACGCCTGGTCATTTTCGAATGGCCGGCCCTTGAACTCCTCAAAGGCACTGTCCACTACCTCAACAAATCGGGTCAAATAAACCTGATGCTGAGAAATCTGCCTCTGAGAGGCATTTCTCAACTCCAAAGCTCAAAATGAGGAATTTATGCGGCTCATTCATGTGCATTCCATCCCCATTTCTCAGCGCCACGTGAACGCAGGGAGAACTCCAGTGGTTCAAGTCAGACGCCATCCATGTTCATCGGAAACCCCGGGAGAAAAAAACGCCAACGTCCAGTCCATGAAAGCAAAGATGCTTCATGGAAGGCCTTCCTTTGCTCTTGTCCACGTTCAGTCCATTGCAGCTGCCGTACAAAGATGTCGCCCGAGTCCTTCCTGAGATCGTGTAGGTAACCTCGGCGACGCAAATGACATCTCAGAAGCTCCAAGGAGCAACAAGTAGAAGTAAGACATGCAAATAATTAGGTTTAAGATGGCTTAAGACAAAAACACATCTGCAAGTAAACATGTCCAGCATACCGATTACGTTGATAGGGGATTTACTTGCAACTTGCACCAACCTCTCTGCATGCTCGGTATGATTTGGGAACATGAGCTGAAAGGCGATTGTCTCGTTTCCTCCCCTCCAACATCGTCGTTAGTTGTTGTGAAATGCCAATAGCTTTATGCAGCCAGCACTTAGGATGTTTGCCATGTTGAAGGAGAGGTGCCCGGGTCAGTTCAACCATGTTCCGTGTCAAGCAATGTCAAGCATCAACCAAGCGGAAAGGTCTTATGGGGCGGTCTTTGCTTTTGGTATATACAGCCTTCAGCCTTCAGGTTATCTATTGACAATCACAATCGCTGCCTGGGTTCCACACAAATTACATACTCACTTTGTGAACCAAATGCTGTCACCCCGTGCATCCAAGGCAAAGCTTGGCCAAAAGAGGAGTCCATGCACGCAATATAAGTCCTGATTTGGAAGAGGAAACGTCGCCAAACCCTTCTCGCTTGCTGAAGGAGTTTGACAACACAAAAACCCATCCAGCTAGACTCTAGACTGGGCCGCTATGCGCAGCCCCTCACTTGTCCGGGCTCAAATAAATCAAATAAATCAAGTCACGCTCCAAGTCCCAGACTTTCATGCCGCTCACCAGCGCGTGGAACATGTAGGTCTTCCTCTGTTGTTTCGACAGGAGGCCCAAGGCGAAGTAGAGACAGGAGAAGCGAGACAAAGAAACACATGGGAGAAACCAGCCAAGAAGCCTGATGAAGAAAAGAAAAGCTGCTGTTTAGGAGGAAAAACCCTGGAGGGATCAATGAAAAGCAACACTCACTTGAAGATCCTCTCATATGAGACCTTTGGAAGGCTATCTCCAAGTGCCAAGGACCAAAAACCTGTTTTTTCATGGTGTTTCCTTTCGTCAAAAGCTTTCATCCTTGTCTGGGAGAACGTGGACCCCAGGCGGACCGAGAACTGGCCAAGCTTCCCATGTTGCATCTCAGGATGGGCGTGTCGCAACTGGGAGCCCTCCTCAAAGTCTGAGGCCCGGATTGCCAAACCTGCACCAATCCGCCGGCATCGCGGGGATCGGATGGCCCAACGGGCAACCAAGAACGGCAAAGCTATGGGGATGTCACCGAAAAAGGGTCGGGCTGAGTCCGGACTGGATGTCAACGACGCTAATCCAGGATGACATGTTCCATCATGAATCATGTTCCTCTTGAGCTTGAGTTCTTGTCTTCATAACTCGTCCCCTGGTCCAAACACCCACTCCCATGGCCAGGAAACAAACGTTGCCGGAACGAAATGGAATCAGGCGTCTCAGAGCCACGGAACATGGAAAACAACATATGTGAAAAAATGCCAGAAAAGCCGCAGGATGAGCAATGAACCGAGCAACCTTAACGCACCTTGAATGAGCTTTCCTAATGGTCACACAGTCTCAAGAGAACCATAGACATATGGGTGATTATGGGTGCGCAATGGCGTGCATTAAAGTCACTAAATTGGTTCTACACACCCCCAAGGAAGAAGGAACACAGCAAAACTCATTGGGCCAGGGGGTCTCCAAACGCTTGAAAATGGGGCCAGGGGATCTCCCTCTGAAAATGCACCGCTTGGCCGCTTGGCATCGCTTGGGATTCGTTGGGAGCCTATGTGGTTCACAGGCCAACAAAGCATGCCCCGCACGAAGATGGTGAAGGGCGCATAGCAAAGCCGGTAGCGGCAAAGCACCACATCACCTGTGCGGTCAAATGCGGTCAACCAAACCCAAAGGATGAAATCTGTAGCCAAAACATACCAAAACAAAAAAGGATCGAGAAAAATGCGTTCCTGAAAGGTCCCTTGGGTTCTCCTCCAGGTAAACCAGGTAAACCAGGGAAGTGGCGCTGCGGCACGGTCAACCCAAAGGTGAACTGGATCTGTCACTCTGCTTCGATAGGAAATCCCTGGGACCATTCAATGGGCAAGCTGAGCTGTTGCAATCCATAAAGTGTGATGGCTTTATCACTTTGGGGGCCGGGCGGCCGGGGCATTGAGATGGTTCAGTAGGACACATAACCGCACAACACAAGGGGTCAATCCTTAAAAACTCTAAGCACGTCATAGCAAACCTAAGCACAAACCTGAAACCTTTACAGTAAGAGGTGCTTCCTGATTACCTCCCAAAAACTACCTACCATGGACCCTGACTATGGGCCCTGGCAGTAAGATTGTGTTCCTCCACAAGCCCGTCCATGTTCGTCTTCAGGGGGGTAATGAATAAGCTCCATGCGTGCCACGGACACCATCTTCAGCCAAGTCTCCAGTTTGCAGCTCTGCCACCGCCGCAGAACTCGCCGCACAACTCGCCGAACGAGATACAGATCCGCCCATGAATTTCTGCGGCCTTTTGTGGTAAGCAAAGGGAGTCAGAATCTGAATACCTATGTTTGTGCATATTTGTGCGTCAAATCATATCTGTATATCATTTATATCGGTCCTTGCAGCAGTTTTTGTACGTCAGTTTGCTGACTTCGATGTGTGGTGGAATTTAGCCAGGTTGATGTCCGAATTCGAACCTGGGTGAACCGTTTGGCAGAACGATGGAGCGATGGCATTCAATGATACGTGTATATATATATACATAAGAGATTGTAAGCGAAATCAAAAACTCGCATCACGTAGATTCTGCCGCTGTCTCATGTGCCTTTCCAGAAAGTGTCCAAATGGCTCGAGCCTCATCCACCAAGCAGTTACAGCTGCTTGCGAAGCGTACAAGACACATGGACCCTATTTCTTCACATCGTCAGTATGCTCTCTCCCTCTCTCTGGATCTTAGTCGTGGCTTGCTCGATCTTGTTTCAGTAAATGAGGCATCAAGAGCAGCTTTTCAGCACCGTGAGGCATCTTGTAACACGAAGCTCATGCCAAGTCGGGCATCCAAAACATAACACCCCACAAGCTCTGAGATCTTACAGTGGTTTCAGAGTATATGGCACAGACCCTAAGATGTCCTTTAGATGGAGGCCCATATAGAGAACGTAAATGTGAATGTGAATCGAACCGACCAGCTGCTTAGCAAGGGGTTCACCAAACAACTCCACACTACTTGTCGTAGGGCTCCAGAAAGGACGCCCCTGAAATCCTTAGGTACTGTCATCCGTCGAACAACCCATGAAAAGATATGAAAACAAAAAACGCCTTGCTAGACCGCAACCAACGACGCACAGCTTATACGTCGAACCACGCGCCGCACACCGTCCGCCTTGCCGCTCTTCGGATCAGTCTTGACGCCGACCTCCTCCAAACCAAGGTCCTGCTGAGGCATGCCTTCCGGAGGGTCCCTCTTCATTGAAGAGAGGGCTTTCAAAAGGGAAGAACATCATAGAACATCTAAATTGGGCCCTTCTTAAACGTAAATACTCTATACATCTCTACTTACACCTGTAGAATTATATATATAATCCTATAGATTAGATCTGATTGGATCTTAATTAGCCTAGACCGTCCCAATGGAACACATTCTCTTGCAACTGTGTGGATTTGCTTGGTGGCTGAGTTGAGTTGGAGGTGAGGCCACAGAATCATCTTGGATCTTTTTTCTGTTTATGGGGCTTTGATATCTCCGACTCTCCTGGCTGCTTGGCTTCCTCCCGGTGGCGAACATCACCTAGGTGAATCACAGCGTGGGCCGGGGTAGGGGTGGAGATTCTGGGCATACCTCTGGAGGTGATAAGAGCATGGTGGAGGGAGCAAACCTGAGCTTGGCTGTCTAGACTGCCAAGCTCGGGACGGGCCTCCTGGCTCGGGTCTCAATGACTGAAGAGAGGTCTCCTGAGTCTCCTGTATCGCTATACGGGCCCCCGAGGCTTGAAGGATGAGGTTCTGGCGACGTGCCAAGGACAGTATCAGTAAATGTCGATGTCTGACATACACCAGGGCTTGGTAGGATTGAATTTCAATTTACCTGGGTTAATTCACAGGCAGTGACCTTAGCTAGCTCTCATCAAACTCCTCGTTGCCCTAAAACTCCCACCCTGACCCTCACTGTAAGGACCTGCAGCCTGCCCTTCTTTTGGTCTCGGCAGGGCGAATGAGCCGCGCTTTGTCGTCTCTCTGCTCCACCAAGATGAGGTTTTCGCCTGGGTGGCTGGACGAGACCGTTCCAACGAGAGAGAGAGAGAGAGGTCAGGTAGAACTCAGCTGCCAAGCCAACCATTCACCAGCCGACTATGTGGAAGCTCCTGTGTCTGCTGACTGGCAAAACGGGAGCACTGCGCTGGCCCGAGTAGGTACGAGAAAACTCAGTCTAACACCATCACAGAGATATGGTATCTTGATTTGGTTTGCTCTTCGAGCATCTTTACGGAGAACGAGAGCATTTCAAATCAGCAGTTAAAAGTTGGCTGTCGGTATCTACCACGCCACTGTATGCCAATACTTTCTATCTCCATCGCCCTCTCCATGACATGAGCCAATACTTCTTCACCTGGAATTTTCTCCAAGTGGCAATTCTCCAGGCCAAGCTCTTTGGCAAACCTCAAGCACCCAGATAAGGCCAGCAAAAGCAGCTTAAGTGGCACCCTCTGGCAGAGAAAAACACCTTCTTGTATATATTGTTTAAATGCTCCAGGATGCAAAGTAGGCAACCGCTGCCGGTTCAATCCGAGTGGCGCCCTGGAGACGGCGGGAGGCGCCGCGCAGCCGAAGCCCATGAGGAGCTCTGAGGCGCGGTCCACCTAAGCGACGAGTGGGAAGAGGGGTCGGCACGGGGGCTCCAGGCCTTGACCCAGATTTTGGAGACCTGATCAGGTTGATTTGGGTTGCCAGTTGGTGTAACACAGTGGTATCCAATCTCCTTCTTTTTCAGAAAACGACCGCCCCGACCCTGCGCAAGTTGCAGGTGGGAAAGGAGGAAGCACGGGTCCATATCTGCTTGTTGCTGTTACAGGGCAGAAGGAGAAAACACAATGGCCTACAATAACTATACAATATTTAAACGATGTTCTTTTATATCAACGACTGGGAGAATTGGTTGGTCAACGTGTCTGGCCTGTCGGCATCCATGATGTTCCTCTACCAGGGGTGCTGGTGTTCTAGCGGCTTCTAACAAACATGCTTCGACCACATTGACATCCGTGGGGTCACCCACTCCCAAGTTCTTGTCATGTCTGTGACAAGGTTTGGATGGCATGGGCCCAAGCAACACTTGTAACCTCATGTAACTTCCCACATCTACGGTGGGGCCGGGGTGCCCGAGCCACCACACATCTAGACGCCAAGCTGAGCCTCCGACCACTTCTTGTCCTTCAAGCTCCACAAAGGGCTGAGACTGCCTGGGGCTCAGTTGCTCGAACAGCCATGCATGGTCCCTTTCCAGAGAGCAAGAGAAATAGCATAACAATCCGCGGTTATCAGCCTCAAAGTCTTGCCTGTCTATGATTCTATGCCTTTCTTGCCTCACTTCCAAGGCATCTTGCAGAATTCAGACTCAAAAGCTTTGGCTAGGCGCCCCACTGCGTTCCAAACATCTGTTTAGCCGTTGGTTGAAGCCCTGAACGCTCCACTTCAAGCATGCTCGAGTGGGTTCTGATATCGAGCTGCAAGTGTTGCAATAAGGAGGCAAAGGCCGCCCCAGCCAACGTTGTGAGGCTGCTCTCTTTGGCCTGGGATCCGTGATTCTGGTGGTTTGCGGAGGTGGCCGACTGCGAGGCTGCAATCAACACAATGGACTTTATTGATATAGATCAGTGAATCAGGATGTCAAGGAGATTCCAAAAGTATCCTAGCAGCATATGCCAATCAACAGTAATTGAACTATGTCATGATCTGAAGAAGAAATATGTATTCACGTACTTTTATACTTACTTGTTTCCATCATTTAATTCTTATTTTATGATGTCACTCGTGGCATCTTCTGATCTGCTGGGCTTTCCACCCACCGGGCCGATGACACGTGCGCCGCCAAACGCGAGCCCTCGTCATTCAGCAGCTGCGCGGCGGCGCGCGACCTGCGCCGAGGCGCAGATCGCACAGCTCCAATTGGGCGATTTCAAGCACTCCCCCCGGCAGACTAACATGTTGGTGGATATGGAGGACCGGGTGAAGATGAGGAGTGGTGAAGACGATACCATGGACCCCTAAGAATGAACCCACGGAAGATCGACCATTTTCCGAAGACCAATGGAGTGTTTTTTGGGTTCCGTGTGTGTGGTCCTCTGCAGGGGAGTAGGACGGCCATTCCCCACGACGTACGACCCCTGCAGGAGGAGTGTCCATCAGCGAGCTCAAACAGCTGCTATACAGCCGCTATACACGGCGAGTTTTAGCGAACTTCATGCAAAAATGGCCTGGTGATGGGAAGGTCCTGGATCTCCGACATGAACCTTGATCGGAGCTGCCGCAGAGTGCAAGATGGGTGGGAGCAACCCACAAGTCCAACGTAGATCCACAGGTTCATGCACCACCATGACTTGGGATCTCTCTGATATTGTTGAGCCACTTCTGGATGTTTCTGGGCAATGCATGTGGCGATGCAAGTGGAGTTCACGGCTGTAAAGGGCCAAACACAAACTGCACATCCCAAACCCGTCCCCTGGGTATGGCATCGAAGCACTTTTGACAAGGGGTGCACAGTGTGTGCACCCCTGACAAGACGAAGACATGAGATCCACCCCACCCAGCGCAAGACCTGTAGGAACTCTAGGCACTTTCTTTGGGGAACTCTTGGAAACCGCTCTGGTCATCGACGTCTTCCAGCCGGGTAACGGCTCTTCGTGGTCCAGCAACAGCAGTAAGGCCTCTCCCTCTTTGCCCGCACGGGCGGTTCGGCCCACCCGATGGATGTACCTCACGGTTCGGAAGCACTTCATCCAGGTTCGAGGCCATGATCCACTCCTAACCCGGGGTCCTTCTAAGATTCTACCAGGTGTCTTGATCTGTATCATCTGAAGTATAACTACTTAACCTGCCCAGGAGTTCGTGCCATCAGCAAAAAGCCCAAAAAGTCAAACATGTCAACACTCAACAGCAGTGCACGTGGCATCAGGCATCAGGCCAGCCGAGGTACTGTTGCCGGCTCATTGGTGCCATCACCTGCAAGACCAAGGTCACCTCGACAGGCACCCAGCTGAGCACGACTGTTGAGCACGACTGTTCCTGTTGGGTGATGGACAGGAACTTGGTCAATGAACTTCCAGAGCACACGGGCCCCGCTTCTGCAAAAATGACACGGCCAGGGCACATCGGGGTAGTCCATGCCTCGCTCCGACGACTGCGAGGTGAACAGCACTCCAGCCGAGGTCTTGCAAAACTCCTCTGCTCAGCCGGTCCAGCCGGGGGGAAGCTGGGAAAGCCTAGGCCCATATGGTTTGGTTGGACAGGACCCTCGGATAAGGCAGGATAAGAAGGTAATTATGCAAGACAAGATGTTCCAATGAATGGTGGGTCTGTCTAGAACTGCCCAGCGTCACAAGTCATCTGCTTCGTTCTATGCCAACCCAAACCCAACAGGCCATGGTCACTGAGCAGTTGACCCGCCCGCCTCTTGAGCTAGCATCCGAGCACTAGGAGTGCAGCGAGAATGGATTTGATAGATCCTGCCAGGGCGGCAAGGCGTCCAAAGGATTTTGGAGAACGTGCCCAAGAACAGGAGGGGCATTGATTCAAATCATGCTCAGCATGTACTGAGAATTGTGGAGCTAGTTGAACGTGCAACCCACTCCATCCTGACCTAATTTCGACCCACTCCGGATCCCAGGCAGCCTCACCAAGTCCACCCTTGGTCCACTGAGTCTGTCCACCGCGGCATGTCGTCGCCGTCCTCATGTTCAGCTGCTCCTCGAACAAGGCCGCAGCGAAAGCCGCTACCCGCGCTGCCGGGAAGAAGACCATGACCTGCCGTCGGTGGGGCCTTAGGGGTCCTTAGCTCGCTTGGCTGGATGAAGAGACATCAGCTGGTAAGTATATATCAAAAGAATCATTACATTCCCGGAATTAATCATGGAAGTGGTTGTTCTGGTCCCTTTTGCAGGGCAATTGTCCTCTGCAAAAGGATTCAAAAAGGGTGGTTTTCCACTTCCGTTGGAGCCGGGGGGGCTAGACCGTCCGACCACCGACCACCTTCCGGCCTTGTGCGAGATCGGCCTCTGTCGAATCTCCAGTTCCAATGCATTCCTGGCGGCCAGGGTGGTGCGAGGCGAACGGAGATTGGAGGAGTTTCGCACGAGTCTCTTGAAAACCCATCAGTATAGCTTCAAAAAGAATTGTTTGGAGCCCTATGGAGCCCTAGCCTATCTAGGACACATGTTGAAGCGAAAAGCCTCCAATGCTGCTTTCTTAAATGGACCGTGGTCATTTATATACTTTCAACTGTTCATGAAACTGCTGTTCAATTCGGATCATTTCGGATTCATTTGGCTCTGGCTCTGGCTCAAGAGTAGGGGGGCCATCCATACGGCCCCTTTTAAGGGAACAATTATAGCCTCCAGGCCTTCAGGCTCTCGATCCATCTCGACCACTATCGATTCGGACTGAGCCATGTGAGTCGACCCGAGCCGCTGCCTCGCACGGAATCCTAGACTTTCAGGGTCACTGAGTGGCCACAAAAGCTCTTCCAAACTCACCCGGCCTAAGAGAACCTTTCCTCCTTTTCCTGCCCAAGCCGCTGACCCGATTGGGAGGGGGTTTTGCGAGACGAGACGGCTTCCACTCGCCTCAAGGCAGTGCACATTAACAAGGGAGGGGCAAAGGCCACTTCTTGCAGCACCGCCTCAACAACGCGGCGTGACGCCGAAGCGATGGACATTCCGTCTAATCTTTTTTTGGGCAGCACCGAAATCAAGCGTTTGTGATGCGGAAGGCGGGAAGATGTGGATTCTTAACGTGTTGAAGATGGGTGTCTCTTAGTAAACTCGGCCGCTCGTCGTGGCTTCCGAGTCCGCAAACGCGACTCCGAGTCCTTCCAGAATCAGGAAAACACGCGGCGGACTCGTCCGCCCACCAGACAAACCAAAAACACCGTCCCCAGAACGAAACCATTTGGCCATGTCCATGCCCTCCCTGCTGTATTTAAAACAAATACACGTCGCCCATCGTCGCCCCCTCCAAAAATACCCTCCGGGACCGAGGCCGGCGCCTCTTGAGTTGGAAGGCCTTGCACCAGGTCCAACCATTGGCAGTTGGGTCGGCATAAGGCGGAGCAAAGGTCCCGCACCTCGCGGTGTGCTGTGCAGGTTGGGCCGAGGTGGTTGGCTCTAGAGCCACCCAAATGCCATTTATGCCAAGGTTGGTAGTTGTTCCAACTGGAGTTCGCTGTATGGCCCACGACTTGATTTTTTGGGTGGATGACCAGTTGACATCTGAATGAAAAACAGGTGGCGAACTCACGCCAGTTCCATGGATTGGATGATGTCAGAACGTGTGTTTCTTTTTCATGATGCCCAGGCGAGGGATGCTAGGGTCCAAAATCACCCTCATTCTCTACCACTAGGACCCTCCATCAGGTGCCTGATTTTTGGTGCAATCGTCAAAGGTTGGTGGTGAAGTGTTGGAGTTTGCTGATTACAAGTGCTTCCCTCGCCAAAAACATGGTTAAACACAAAAAACGCACCCTAGCATGGATCAGATCGGTCATCGATGTGAGACATGATGTCGACTTCTATGCATGAAAATCCATGAAAGACCACTCAAAAACGTCCAAACTAAAGGAACTCTGGACCCTATTTCCAAAACGCATCCCAAACAGGGCCTTTCGGTCCTCTTCTCTCTGCCTGCTCCCTGCCCCACTCCTGTGGGGCACCCTCGCCTCCTCTGGCACGGTGGCGCTCAACAGCAGCGTCTGCCGCTGGGCGGGACCGGCCGGGCGGTCCGGCAAGAATCGGAGGAAGGTTTGAAGCGATTCCTCGGAGGTCGGCAGGGCTGAGTCTGGGCCAGAAAGAAGTACGAGATAGTCGGAAAACATGGAAAAATGTGGAAAACAGCACCAGTTGCATCAAGTCAGCAAGTCCACTAGAACAACAACACCATTCACGATTATTGGACAACACGTTCAATGACCTCCAGGAAAATCATTACAGTACAATGAAATTAGAGAAAGCCAGCAGCATCAGTGACCGGGGAATGCTTCAAATGGTCCAAAGGAGTGCAAGCAGCCCCAAAACATGTACCGCATGTCGGCCATCTGCACCCCCAGTCCGCTCGGTGAGACCAGCATCTGCTGACTCTTCTGCAAGTAAGCGATCACACTCATCCAGCACCAAGATCCCCAGGGCATCAAACAGAGTCTCGAAACCTCGGGTCGCGACTCGTCGCCGCCGGGCGGTGGCGGAGGCGATCGATGTGAAACCAACCAACCAACCCCCTCCGTGCAGGTCGGAGGGGTTCTGAGGTGGAATCACAGGATAGGAAGGAAGCACCTGGGAATGACACGTCCCCCATCTTCACTGCCCTTCTCCAAGTGAACAAACCCACCGAACATGAGTCCAATCCTGACATCACAATGGATGATTGAAGAATGATAATCAGTAAAAAGATGTAAAAAGACTCACCGATCCAACAGTTGCAGCTTGTTGTTATCATGCTCCGCACGTCAAAAACAGCGGCCCGGTGACGCTTCGTGGCTTCGAAGTGCTCGATCAGCTTGGCCAAGGTCCCCACCAGCACAGCTGGCCGCCGGCGTCGGATGGCTGTCTCGTCCTGCACTGCCAGGCGCAGTAAGCGCAGTAAACGCGGTAATTGCATGCGCGACAGCCTTTGACTTGAACACTGCAACGGCTTGCATTCCACTGCATAAAATGGTTTTCCGGTTTAGGCATGGTGACCCTCACCTCCTGCAACTAACATGGGGCCCGGCCCACTGACAGCAAAAAGAACTGTCTACATCCAAGGCATTTCAAGGCCTGCTATGTTGGCAATGTTCAGGTTATAGATTAATTGTACTATATTGTACTACTACAATGTACTTAACTTAGAAGCGCTGCCAAAAAATCAGTAAACACATGGCAAATCTTGCCGAATTCTTCTGTCCATCGACCAACACCCAGGGAGACGTCGATGCGGATGCCTTGTCTCTGCGGATGCCCCCGATGAGTGGCACAATCTGAAGAGCGTGGTAGGAGCAAAGTGTCTCCGCATCTTTGGTGATCTGGAGGACCAGCTCTCCTGAGCAGACTGCCCAAGTGAGCTGGTCGGTGGACTGCTTTTCACCAATAACGTCACCACTGCAAGCCACACCCAGCAGAATCAGACCAACATGTATGAAAACCAATGGAAAACCACTGGGGAAAACTCGCTTTTTGTGCGGGGAAAAAAGGTCAAGGCATCTGTGGCAAGTTGACATGGCAGGTTCAAGATGTACACAGTTTAGACCTACCCTCCACATTTTGCACACCTCCTCCGTTGAACTAACTCACTATACAAGTGGAAATCAGAATCGCTTTGGGCGTCCGGGGGGCTCCTGAGGGCTCCTGTCAATTCCCCCCGCCCATCACTTTCCCATGACTCTGAGTGGCGAGATGGAGCCACAATTAAGACCCCAATCCCGGGTGGAGGATTCTTGACCACCTGCTCGATGGCAGGGATCAAATAGCTGAGCGTCTTGCCAGTGCCTACGAGGTCGAGGCGGATGGGCAGATGCAGCCACAAAAAGAGCGGACCGCTAGAGAGACGCGCGTGCGATGTAACTTGGCCTTAGGTGGGCCTACATGTCGCTGCCTCTTGGAGATAAAAGCACTCGAAGGGGTATCATATGAACATATCTCGAGGCGCAGCCACTTCAAAGAAAACCACGTACTCCTGAGCCACTTCCTTGCCTAGCCTATCTCAACTCCTGTCAAAAGTGGGGATTTCCTTCCCTCAAAACAATCACCAAAGCTTAGGAAAGCTGAACCTCAAGTATCCTCTCTAGCTGGCCTGTCCTCGCATGGATCACAAAGTCGCTCCCTGCCGAGGCGGTTGCCACAACAGGTCAAACATAAATCATCTAAGGAAAGGACAGCTTCCATCTGATTCTATCTCTTTCTCTTTCGAGGTCAGCTGTGGGGCACAAGGTTCTGATGTCAGCTGTGGGGCACATGAGCTCAGAAACTCGCTTGATGAGAGCTCTGGCCTTCGGTTGGTCTTCAGGCGGACCCAGAATCCATTTCAAGCATGCTTTGCTCAGCATATTGGTTGGTTTCCACTCACTCTGCCGGACTGAAGAACACAAGACACACCTTCGCTTGCTGCCATGTTTGAATATTATCCGTCTCTTTCTCTGTTTTCTCTGTCTCTTTCTCTCTCTCCCATGCCTGGCCATCTCACAGCTGTCCCCCCGGGGACACTCTGACGGAATTGCCGGCTGCTATAAACTGGTCCAACATGCTGCATGCTTGGCGTCTCTCCGAAGCGCCTTCTGTTACAGTACTCTTTTGGTGCGGCTATGCGAAAAGTCGTGCCTCATGATGAAGTGGAATCAAAGGAACAACACAAGTCACAAACTATGTGTGTGTGTGTGTAGAAGAATATGATTGTATATGTGTTGTGTGTGTATGGACACCTCTCTGGAATCTGGACCCACCCAGCTCCCCAGTCCTCGAGCTTCAGGCGCAAGAAGCTGCGGCAGCACCTACCAGGTCAGGTGGCTCAGCTAAATGACTCACATCGTTTGTCAGTTCTCCCGTTATGCCGATATATTGCCGATATATACAGTACCCAATCACGTCCGAGTTGTTATACCGATAACCCTGGGCCAGTCGATCTCTTAAGATGTCCATCTGCGGACACCAGGTCTGTGGTCTGTCATGCTGTCTGCGGCCCCATTGAAGTTGCAGGATCCCTGCCTGCGCCTGGACCTTCGTCGCCTCCTGGAAGCGAAAGGCCTCCCGCAAGCCCCGCAGCGTGTGCGGATGGAGCCCCTCAGTGCAGCAATGCACTGGAGGCCCGAAGCAGGGCGCTTCAGGCACTGGAGGAGAAGCAGCTGGGAGGTGAGTTGGGGGGATCTGTCAGCTGGAACTGGAGGAGCCTCCCGCGGGTATGGCTTATTTGGTCTCCCAAACGTTTCGGAGGCACCAGCGCTTCACCATCCGCGCTTCACACCTTCCTGGCGTTACCGGGTGGAGTAGCGCCGTGTCACCCACCCCGTCGGCGTCATCCAAGCGTCAAAGTCTTCAAAACCAACGCCGCTGCGTTGTGCTGCGAGCCTAAGTGGAACATCACCGGTGTCCAAACAAAGCACCTCCTCGGGAAGTTTGCTTCAAAACGGACAGTGCACGCCCTTTTGACATTAGGAACCAAGAAAAGGTCCACGCCATAATCACCACCCCTTCAAACGTACAGGTATTTCATGTTATGTCTATGTTGCAGTGGATGATAATGGTTCAGTTGCAGGCCTTTCTCTAAAATAGTGATATTTGTTTACCCATCCTGTTGCAGGTTTACTGGGATAGACCCAAATCCCTTTCTGAATGAACAAACACATGGCCCTCGCGTCTATGTACATCACCCCATGCCTCAACTCACCCTCCGCCACACCCACACCCGCCGGCCCCACCTCGAGGCATGACGTGCGCCCTCGGGCGACGTACCGGGCCGCAGCCGCACCTCCGGGCAGTGGGTGTGCCAGCGCCTTGAACGGAGGGTGGAGGTGTGGTGGACGCGGGCCCAGCAGAGCAAAGGAAAAATGTTGATGGAACATGCAATTGCTGTGGCTTTAAATAAGAGGCACAATCCCCCAAAGGTGATTAAAACATGTCTAGATGGAGACCCATCTGAGGGACATGGGGTCTGTGCCATCGAACCTCTGAAACCACTGTCAGTATAAGTTATAGTGTTTGGTCGATGTCACTTGGCTCAAGTGTTGGCTCAAACGCAGGCGAGATTTGGGTTCCCCATCCTTGGGGCGAGAATGGTCCCTCTATATAATGATCCTGACTCCTCACATGGAACTCCAACCCTGAAGAATTAGTCACATGAGTCATTTCTAGAATCAACTGAGCAACACAGCTCGGAATTCTATAGCTTCACCTAGTTCACTGGTTTCCCCGAAGCGTCACCCCAAACACACCCAACACGGTTGCGTTGTCCCAGGATCAAAGGAGTGCCGGGATATCGGCCACGGCAAGCAGCGCGGCGCAGAATGGCACGAAGCGTTACCATGGACTGGTCTTGTGTGAACTGCTCCACACAAACATGAGTTCACAAGTGGAGGACCATCAGGTCACCAGTTCACTAGAGGGGTGGACCAGTCGTCTTGACTACTACGAACATGATATCGTAATTGTTACGGTGTTTAACAAAGAACAGCATGCAAGCCTGAACTGAGCAGTTTCCAAAAAACCATAGACATCCATAGATATCCTATGTTATTGTCATCAACAAACTTTACCCAGTCAGAATAAACCCCGCAAATCAAAGCCTCATCCAATGTTTGGCGTTCTCAGCCATGCGCACTCTCAACCAGCACGCAAAACCACCAAGAAACTTTGTGTTGTGGGTTTAGTTATGCAGTTGACCGCAGCCTTCAATAATCATCTAGCATGTCGATGAAATACTGTGGCTGCCTTGAGCCTGCTACAATTTTGAGAAAGGTCAGCTTTAACGGGCAACCATGCCAAAGTTGATGGCAAATACTTGTACAAAACACGCGAATCACGATGGAGACATGTTCCACTGCCCGTGGACATCTTTCCTTGCGAAGCTCGCCAGGGTGGATCAAGCAGCTGCTGGAGACCCCTCGCTGCGCCGCCGGGTGCCGGGTTGGTCTCTGGAGCCCTTTGCTTGGCCGCACCTGGGCTGGAGAGCCCGCTCCCCGCCAAAAAAAAGCAAGTGACATAGAGAAGCACCTCCATGGCAAGCAACATCCCACCTTCGTGCCTACTAGTAGTGATGGTGGTGCGAAAAAGAAAAAAATAAGTCGCCTGGGGCCTGGGGCGCTCGCTGACCATGAAGGTGATGTTCCATGATGTTCCTATTGTATGCATCGGCTATTTAGATTTGCTTGGCGTCCCGAAAGTAAGTCTATAAGCGTGAAAAGTCAAAAAAAAACATAAACAGTTGGCTAATTCGAGGATTCCTGAGTGGATCGGGTATATGATTAAAACAAACCAAGTCAAAAAATCTCAAAAAACCAGGGAACATCAGTTGAATGACGACTCCTTCAGCCGGATGTGGGACCGCAAGAGTCGCAGCGGAAGCTGGATGAACCTGAAGCCTTCAGAGCTACTTCAAGTTCAAACAGGGCTGAGCCCAGAGACGTGGAAGACGAAGAGGATCTCCAAGCCTCCAAGCACCAACGAAGGGTCAAGTTGCATCTTGGCTGTTGGAAAGGATGGCAACATGTGGCACGCATGTCAAGTTTCATCAGCTATAGGGTCTTGCTGCATCTCGTCCCTGTTGATGTGGCCGAAGAGCACGAACTCCTCTGTCGTTCGTGGCAGCTTGTCCGACCACTGCGAAGAATTGGCCACGAACAAATCCTCAGTGTGAGACTGATTGCAATATTCTTTTGTGATAGCCGGTGGTAGCTGAGTCCCGCCACCTGGGTTCCAAAACATCAAATCCCAACCTGAGGTGATCAAGTCCCAGCCTGACCACGGGTTGCTGAACTTTCACAAAACTTTCAGGACCCTCACAAACATGAGTTCACAAGAGTGGAGGACCATCAGGTCACCAGTTCACTAGAGGGGTGGACCCTGGCTTCGTTCCCACCTGCCAAGGCTCAGTGTTGGCTTTGAAGCCCAGCAAGCGGCCCGCCCGGCGCGACGTCGACCTGGCCGTGGCCGTCGTGCTGGCCGCTTGGTCCAAGGCCGCCTGGCCGCTGGCGCCTTCGACCAATAAGAAAGCTGGCGCCTTCGATCGTGGCCAGTCCTGCGCGAGATGGAAAAGGTTGAAACATGACAATCCCTAGGGATCCACATACCTTCTCAGAAGGTACTTGGGCCCTCCAAGCCTACATAAACAGTCTCCAATCACCTTCTGAGAAGGTACTTGGATCCCTAGGGAATCCATTAACATGTCCTTTTTCTTTCTGGAGAACTATGTTGACTCCAAAAAGGAAGAGTGGCACACCCCTCAGCAGCCTGCTCTCCAAGAATCTTAGCCAAGAAAACCTCGAAAAAACCGACAATAAACCTAAGGCAAATGAACTGAGCCTGTCCAGGACAAATGATGGGATGTGATGGGTCAACATGGGTCACTTGATGTCACTTGGACGGAATCTTCCTCAAAAGCCATCGCACTTGATACCTCGCCCGTTGCCCGTTGGGTGCCTTGACCATGTTTTTGGCACATGCAATGCCCAGACACGACCCATGGGACTGCCATATATGCCGATCAGTTGGGGTGGTTTGAGGGGTTAATGTAGGCATATATGGCATACATGGAGTGTCTGGGATATATCTTCCTATTCTTCCTTCTTGCCTCCAAGGTGCCAGCAAAGTTTGAAAAGCTGCACGCAAATCGGAAGCGCCTGGAGACCAAATTCTGCAACCTTCATCCGCGTAGAGTGGATACCCCAAGAATTGCCATTCATCGGTGACTGACTCCATGTGACAACAATCTTGGCTGCTGGAATGCTCCAAATGTGTTTGCTGCTTTGGAAGCACACTCCGCAACTTCCTGACTGCTGAACTTTGAATTTGTAGGCACTTTGCAGTGCGTTGCAGTTCACGTGCCTTCGACAAGGCCTCTTGGAAACGTACTGCCCGCGAAACCGTGCCACTCCGAGTGCTCACACTCTTCATCTCGCCCGGCCGCTGAGTGTCGTCATGGCCATGGTGCTTGATCCCATCGCATCTGTCTCCATGGCGGGATCCAGACGTTTTCGCACAGCTGTGACAACAGTGAGTTGAGAGCCACGTGTTGGAGAATGGGCAAGAGAGGGTGTTGCACTTCGCAAGCTTTTCGCCCGGAGCAGGCATCAACCGGAAGTCACGACCATTCAACACAATCTCACCCAGTGCTTGCATGTCTTTCTCATCACTGAAGCGCCATCCATCATGCGCACCTTGACAAAGAAGCTCATAGACCAACAGTTGTTGCGTCAGGTTGCTGCAGTTGCGACTCGAGCGATCTTCCAACAAGCGACTCTGAGGACTCTCCGCCGCCTTGGTGTGGACTTGGACCACCAGAAGTTGAAAGTTCCAGGAGCATTGCGACGTCAACTCCTGGAAGAGCTCCTGAATGGCGCTGTGGCGCAAGGGCACGCGCCGCTCCAAGTTGAAGAGGAGAAAAAGAACCATCGAGCTGCAGCGCGGCGATCGCCCATTCGGCTCGGGCAGCGAGTGCGGACTCCACATGAGTGCCTGGAGTGACTTGACATTCGCCACGAAGAACTCGTAGTCCTTCTCCAGCATCGGATTGTGGTGGTTGAAAATCACGTCACGTTGCAGCATCGCAGAGTAAACTTCATGGCCAGCCTGCACCAGCGGTTGGGCGCAACACCCCCACTTTTGGCACACCTTTCACACACCTGGTTGTTAGAAGCAAGCTCAAGGTGGCAACGAAAAGTCTCATCCCAAAACAGAACCGCCCCTTTGCCTTGTTGCATGGCTTTGCGAGATACTTGCTGGCATCCAGGAACGTGGCGAAGGATCTCGAACCTCCGGGTGCTCCACGGCGTCCCTCGGCCAAGCAATGCGTCACCATCTCCGGACCCGAGAAGATCCAGTCGAAGGGCCCCGGCCACCGTCGGAGGTTCCAGTGCTCCATGGCCTCGGAGGGATCCCATGAGGACGTGAAGGATGGTCCAGGATGGTCAGGGACTCCTTGGGGATGAAGGTCGGAATGATGATTGGATGTCATTTGGGATGAGTTGGACCCGGTCTTCAGGCTTCAGGTGAAGCTTTTGAACAGGTCGGTTACTTGATGAGATGCTTCAGCAGCTTACGATGAACTTTGGGGAAGGAATCGGTAGCCGTTGGTGACAGCATTTGCCTGTAGCGTTGTCTGGGGCAGCAAAACAATCCTTGCAACTATAAATAATTTCACCACAGAAGCAAACATCCGCAGTATCTTTGAACATCGCAACCCATTAGCCTCCTCTCCCAACCCAAGATTCATTATATTTTGACATCAAATTGGCGGTGTCCCGTATACTTTCTCATCCACCTTTTCTGTCTCTGTCAAATCCGCCGGCCTGTGCTGTCATGCACAGAGTGCCCAAGGACACCACGTGGCGCACCCACTTCACCTGCGCTTCACCCACTGGCGCGGCCAGCCGCGCTCCTGACGAACCCTCTGGCGCGGACCGTGTCCTCGCGGTGCTTTCCCTGTCCAGTGGGTTTTCCGTCCTCGAGCCCTCCTGGCCGCCCTGCGGGTCGTGCGGGTTGCCCAGGTGCACGAGATGTGACACCAGCTCCGACATGGTGCGACATTCAAACATGATGGACGGTCGAACAGGTGTTCTGGAGAAAGTCGTCCAAGTGGTTTGGAGGCGCTCTTGCAAACGAGCACTGAAGCTGGTGGCCATGGTCGAGTTCAAACCCAAATGTCGCCAGTGCTCACCTTGGTTGACAAGTTACCAAAAATCTGTGTAAAACCTGAAGGCATGACATCTATATGAAATCTGACACTGACACTTCTGACGCAGACTCTAGGTGAACCTCCATGAAGTGTCATGAAGCTCCCATCTTTTTGAACAAGCACCGCAGGCACCTTCCATACCCTGCATGGAGGCATCCGTGGAAACGTCGACGTCACCGCTGGAGGTGTGGCTTCGACCTGCAATCACCTCCTGAATCACCTCTAGAACGATGTGCCGCAACCTCTCCACCTGGATCTCCTGGGAAATAACACCCGGGAACACCTGAAATTGGTGGAGGTTTTTCTCAACCCCAAGTGAGGTAGCTTAACAGGCTTAACAACTCCGGGTGAGGTGGTCTGAAATGGTGAGTGGGGGGCTTTATCCTCTCTCAAGTGGAGCTATAGGTCGTGGAAGTTCAACAGGAAGTGGACCATGACTATGATGCCCGAAGCACCCGCATGCCCCCACACCCCAACACATGATTGGTTCCCTTCTGCCATGATTGGTTCGTGTGTCCTCAGAACTGACCTGGTCGTCATTCGATTCATTCGCTTCACCAACTCCACTCGATAACTTCGTTGCCTCCCACGGATCAGGGAGCTGCCCGCGATCGATTTTGCCTCGGTGGGGGAGATACAGAAGTTAAGCACCATGTCTGCAAAGGAAGGCAGCACTTGAAACATGGAACATGTGAGAACATCACATACCAGTACCCTCCTGTCGGGGTGTGGTTTTTTTATGGCCCCTTAGCTGTGATTCGGGGTGTCCATGTCCACCACCCCGACTGGGGGTGCTGGTACAATACCATATTGAACATCTAGAACATCTATACTCCACAGAGCTTAGGGACCGTTCAAAGTCATCGGAAGGCTTTCAAGGTTCACGAAACGCTGTGGCAGCATGTAGTCTGGCAAGTGCTTCCGAAGGAAAACAAGCATCTCATGGGTGGTTTGGATCTGTGTGGCCGTTTTCCACACAATGTATGCAACCAAAACCTTGATGCTGGAATTATTGCATCTCACTTGAACAGCAGCTTGCTGAATGCCTTTCATGCTCTGTAGCAAGGTTTCGATCTCTCCCAATTCAATTCGAAAGCCGTTCAATTTCACTTGCTGATCCAGTCTACCCAAGCAGAACAGCTTCCCAGGCTGTTTTGTGCATTCAATTGTATCTGTGCCATCCTCCCTGACCTCCAGAACCAGATCGCCAGTTCGAAAGTGGCGCACTCCATCTGCTTCAAAAAATCGAGTTCTTGTGAGCTCCGGCCGCTTCCAATAACCAAGACTCACCCCCAAACCTCCAATCACAAGTTCTCCACGGCTCCCTGTAGCATGCGGAGAGAGCTCGGTGCTTTCAGATTCATCGGTTCCTCCCACGGAAGCATCCACTTGTACAGTGGTATGTCGAATTGCTTGGCCAATCGGAACCCCCAGATTTCGGAGCTCGGACGTGTATGCCGTGTATGCTCGTCTCACGTGGTGCACCAAGGACCAAATGGTCGTCTCCGTGGGACCATAGACGTTGTAGATCTCCGAGGTGGACGAAAAGTCCGCCAACCACAATGGGAATGGTTCCCCACCACACAAGAGGAGGTGATTCGCTCTTGGCGTCCATCCGGCAGACCGTAGGACGTTGAAGGTGCTGGGAGTTCCCTGGAGAATCGTGAGGGTCTGGTCAGCAGAAACGCGCTCCAAGTGTTGCTTGAAGCAGTCACCATTTTGGGTCGTGCTGCGGTCGAGAAGTTCTAAGACCAAGTGCCTAAGACCATCACTGAAGATGTTCATCACCAAGGGCAAGAACAATTCCAGAAGCGCAATGTCAAAGCAAATCGTGGTATGAGCTATCCACCAAATCTGCTTTGGTCTTGGCTGACGACCTTCATTCAACAGCTTGACTTCCATCATGTCCTTAAAGGACCTGAGGACATTTGCAAAGTTCTGCCGCGACACCATCACACCTTTCGGAACTCCGGTACTTCCACTGGTGTAAATGATATAGGCAGATGCTGAGGGCTTGGTTCTCCAAGAGGTATCTCCGGAGACGTGTCCACAGACCAGGGCACCCGAGGAATCGATCAGTAAGATGAAGATCTTGGACATGATGTCCAAACTGTGCAGTACCTCCATGATCTCTCTCTGTGACACCAATACTTGGGCCTCGGAATCGTCCAAGATGAACTGCAAACGACTTAGAGGATAACTGGGATCAAGAGGTACAAAGGCCCGGCCACACCAAAGGACCGCTACCAGCGAAACGACCAGTCCAAAGCCCGGATGCAAACAAAGGGCCACATGACCCACCTGCGCCACACGAAGAGTGGACGCCAAACGAAGAACATGCTGTTGCATCTCTGCAAGGGTCATACCGTCGACGCTGCGTTGAAGTACTGCATTGGGTTTGGAGTCAAACATTCCTGCAAGCAGCTCACCAAGTTCATCTCCGGTCTTCCCGTGCTCAGCAGAAAAGGACATGGCGGCAAGTGGAGCTGAATCTACAATTTTCTGGAAACACTATTCATAGTCCTTCATGGCAAACGGCATTGTCTACTCAAATCAATTTGCTACACAGAATTTTGCTGGCAGCCAGCCGTCTGCTTGTTATTTTTCTACATGTTCCGAACTTCTCATCCAATCCAGCACCCAGCACGACCCTATACCAGGCACAACAAGGCCTGCTGTGATGCAAGCAACATCAAGCAACAGTCGTGCCGGAAAGTCATGATTGCAAACTTATAAAGGAGGAAACCTTAAACAATCAACTATATATTTAAAAATACTTATAGCATCTACCGTAAACCTATCTGCATCAGGCAATCGCAACTCCCCAGCTGAAAGCTCAATGAAGAATGGCCAATGGCCATCATGCACTGAATTCCTCACCCTCGCCACCTCCAAAGTCCAAAGACTAACATGAAAAAAAAAAAAACACATCCAATCCAAAACAGTCAACATGTTTCAACTGAGGTGAGTCAGGTGATTGGACTCCGCGATCGGATGCCAGAACCCTCAGGCCACAGCCCGTGGCCAGCAATCTTCAGCCTGGTGGCGAGCGGCGAGGAGCAAAGGACCCGACGCGTTCAGTTCTCAACCACTGAGACCCAATTGACTAAATTAAGTTATAAATACACATGCTTCATTATTGCTGCATATTGCTGCATTGCGCATGTATATAAACATATTATGTATATATAAATAGTGTCTATATACTGTATGTCATATTAGTATACCTTCCACATCTCATCACATCTCCCAATCTCTCTGGTAAATATAAATTGTTACATTCATGGTTCATACTAGCCCATGTGGAGGACTCAGCCTGCTCGAAAATGCCAGACACAGCACAGTGACTGCTGCTTTTCCCAACTCAAGCTCAATATACATACATATACATATACTACCCAAAAGCACTACAGACATTGCTCAGTCACAGCATGGCCAGCGGATCATGGTGCCTGGTCTATATTGGCTTTATGTACCACCAGCCCTGGGGACCAGCATCTGATTTCCAAGACCTAACATTGCCGTCTGAATTGTTCTGCATGTACATCACATCATTTGGCCAGCTGGAAGGCATCAAGCGGAATACGTCCTTCTCAAACATGTGAGCTTCGATTCTCCAATGGCCTTGCGGGCCAGGGTCACCTTCCCACCCACGCACGTTGCCATCCTTGTTGTCCTGCATGTAAACATACCATGTCGGCCATTTCACAGGGTGAATCAGCCAGAGGTCTTTGGCACGTCTGATAAATTTGAAGTGCCCCTGTGGACCAGGGTCCTCCTTGTTCCACCCACGGACATTGCCGTCTCCGTTGTCCTGCATGTACATGTAGCAGTTTCTCCATTTGGCAGTCGTCATCCGGTAGGTCAGGTTGGTTTTTGGCTGAAATAGGTTCGTCTTGGAGAACAAGCTCTTGCTCACTGTCCACCAGCCCTGATCACCTGGGTCTTCCTCCCACCCACGCACATTTCCGTCAGAATTGTCCTGCATGTACATGTAGTGCGTTGGCCATTTCTTGGTGGAAAAACGATATGATTTCTCCTTCATTTGGTGCGTCTCAATCTTCCAGTGTCCTTGAGGGCCAGGATCACCATTCCATCCACGCACATTGCCATCACCGTTGTCCTGCATGTAGACGCTCCAGTTCTGGAATGCCAGCGGCTCAATGAACCAATATGCTGTTTTCTTTCCGGTGGCATCCACCACATGCCTGAGTCTGAACCACCCTTGTGGCCCCGGATCTTCCTGGTCCCATCCTCGTACGTTGCCGTCTTTGTTGTCCTGCATGTACATGAAGCACTTGGCCCACTTGGACGTGGAGAATCTGTAAATGCCTTCGTCAAGCTTTGCATCTACTTGGGCTCTGCTTTGGTCGAACTGGGATGGCAAAAGGCACTCCTGGAGAGGTGCCACAGATTCTGGATGGTCCCACGCGTGCCACAACAGTAAAGCAAGAGCTGTTGCCAGAGCTACCATGCACAGCGCAAAAGCAAATTGCTCTGGATGAAACATCAGGGCATAAAAAAGACAAATGACAATAGCCCCAATTCCAAGTCCAGTCGACCCTAGGTCCAATTTGAAATATTGGTTGATTTGAGCGGAGATTGCAGCACCCATGGCAGGCCACATTAAGAAAGGATGCAGCTAGTAAATGTGAACATGTGCCTTTTTTATCGTTGTAGGTGTATTCTGTATATTACATTATATTTATATTGTATATACATGAGAGAGAAACATGTTGAGCCAAAAGCCAAGCGTAAACACTGCACCGGTCATCCACATCTCAGCGAAACCAAACACCTTTCGTGCAAGCTGTGATCTTGGGCCGCACGGCACCGGGCTGAGCAGAATCCAGGACATCCATGAAACAGACTTGCTGCGCTGGACGCATGATGTCTTCTCAACCCCCCAGCCTGGTGAGGCGACCGCTTTGACCGTTGTGGAAGCCTTGCCAAAATGATGGGACAAAGCTGATTCCACTTCACATGCATCTCATCTTCAAGGATTGGATTACAGTAAACCATCGCGGGATAGCTCATTGAGTCAATGGAGATCACAATGGTTCGGAATATCAATATCGACGCATAAACATAAACATCGGATCTGTGAAACAACATCCATATACTGTACACAAAATCCACCAACCACCACTCAGCCATGAATTGAAGGCAGCTGTTGCACTTGCTAAACTTGCACATTTCAAGAGATAGAACTATTTGCTTCAAGTGCCTGGCTTGAGCTTTTGCACCTTCTTGGGCTCGGCTTTGGTCGAACTGGCCTGGACCGAGTTGAGCCAGTTACGCTGCAGAAGTCGCCGCATGAGCAGAGCGAGTGCCAAAGCAAAAGATTAAACGTGTAAGAAAAAACCACACAAACTGCTCCCACTAAACCATCATGCCCTAATGATCCTAGATGCACATGGATGTTACTGACATGGATGCCAGCTCTTGCTAGCAGCCCACGCATGGCAAAGCAAGTCTAGAATGCCATGGCACATCGAGATCGAAAAGGATTCCACAATCTATATCAATCTATTACAAATTATATATTTCAATCTGTCTTCAGGCTTGAGGGTTTCAGCAAAGCTTCCATCTGTCTGGCTTGTTTAGCAGTGCCACCCCCCCAAAAAAAAAATACAACTTTGAAATTCCATGTTTCTACCGAGTCGAGATGATAAGCATTGCCAATACCCACAACCCTATGCACCGCAAACCTTTAAAGACCCTAATCTCGGTCATCAATCACCTGACATGGTGCATGGTCGAATCAATATATTGAGCTCCGTGGGACAAGACAAGGCCAAGATCTCTGTGCTTGAGTGAGGCCTTCGCAAGACGGCCAGGATTAAAAAAGACCGCATACGAAGTGGTGAACAAGCCCACACATCTCCAAACACCCCCAGATTTGGAAAACACTCAAATGAGCTGTGCTCTTCTTCACGAACTTCACTGACCCCATCCAGCTCTTCATCGAGCGCATCCCATCTTTAAGGGCCCCGGCCTCCCAGCCAGGCGCGGGTGTGGGCAACCCATGAGCGGGCGCCGGCGCGGATGGTCTAAGAAAGGTCGTCCGTAGGGATGCATGACTTGTTCCTATCTTGCGAAAACCATTTGACCCAAGCAGTCATGACCTGCTCCTGGTACCCAGACCTAGCTGTCACATGTCTGGCCAAGGGGCGACCGATTGTTCAGGCCATTCCGCTCACGAAAGTGTTTGGTAGAGCCGGGCAACGAATACTACTTGAGAAGCTCCAGTTCCTTCCATCTATCAGCTCCACCAAAAAGGCTCCAAACAACCAGGCTTCCTGAACTCATCAGTGCCTGAATGAAGGTATAAACTCCTTGCAACTTACAAATCTGGGGACTCATTGTGTCTGTCCTCTCACAGGGTGTAAACCATGATTTTGTATCGCAGGCATGTATGGACAAAACACATCTAAAAATAAAAATTGCACATCTACCTCGTCGTGGGGGAGCTTTTTGTCACATGCGTGCAGGGTCTGGAAGGCTTTTTGCTTCCTTTTGTGATTATGTTGGCTCCACATCTGCATGCGATGTCTAAGATCGGTGAAACTGAAATTGGTGAGCTCTCGCTCCAGTCATGCATCGCATGGCTTTCCACATCCATCCTTGTGCTCTTTGTAGAACTTCTCTTGGAATTTCGCCACGGGGGACAACCTAAAGATCTTTCGACCAAACACGCCCAAACAGAAGAACTAATAACCTATATATAGGTGTACTGTATTGTTAGATACCTAGATCCCTAGATCATCGGTTTCGTAAGAATTCGCCACCTCCCCTCAAATAATCAAATGAGAAAAACAACCTCATCCAACCATCACCAGCTTCATTTCCTCAAACACTTGCTGCTCAGTTCACTCCAAATGGATTCTTGGTCCCAAGCCTTTCCCGGATGTTCCTCATGCATATGCCTTTTCTATTAAGGGAAAAACAGCCTCGTGGCACATCTAATTTGGCTGCTTTCTCCTTCTGGCTCACCACTGGCAGTAGCTTTAATATATAGATGTCAAGAACCGGAAATGTGTGGTTTACAAAACATGGTCTGGACATATGGGTCAAAAACAAACACTACCCTCAAGTACATAGGTTAAAATACATAATATAACTCAAAATATAAATATATATATATATACAAAATGATATAGTAATTAACTGATATAATTATTTTTGTAGACATGGCTTTCTCGATCCTGGGTGTCATGAGTCTCATCTATACTCTTCAAAACACCTGTCCAGCAACACCTCCCTGAGGCCCTCGGGCCAAGCCACGAGGTCAAGCCTGGGAACCAATCGGGATTGGAATGGATCCCATCCTGGCGAGGATGTTCTGCAAACAAATGTCACGGCGGAAAGCGACCGAGGTCGAATGCAAAATGAAACTCAAGCTGATGTTCTCAGGATGATGCGCGAAGATTCATGAAATCTTCATTATTCGCTGCCTTGTTTATCAATCAATAGCTTTCTGGAAATTGATGTGATGTGATGACATCATCTTTGCTGAAACTTGAAGAGCTCGAGCAATTGTTTGAGCCAATTCTGCTCCCGTCTGCTCCTTCATCGCCCACATGATGGTCTTGTAGCAAGTTGAGCCGGGCTTGGGGATTACGCAAGGCTCCAAGTCTGCTTTCCTGGTGACACGGCGGAGTCACCGTCGATGTGCTCACCCAGAAACAGCACCCATGAAACCAGTTCCAAGTGTAGAGTCGCTGACTCTATGATATGCCTGCATAGTGGTGCATGGATTGATCAATACCTGTGAATATATAATCACATATAGTCACATAAGGTATATAACTATATATATACATAAAGAGAGAGAGAGAGAGACTGCTTGATGGTGCCAAATTCTTATGTAATTGACTGCATCTGCATCACCAGCAGCGGTTTCCTGATGTCTCCTGTCTTTTCGTCTTTTCTTACATATGTGCTACACGTGCATATCGCAACGAAAGCTAGAACTCATTGCTTGATCGCTTTGTTGAACCCTTCGGGCTCTCTTGGTCTTAAAAATCCACCAACGATCGTGACCTAAACTGGATAGGACAAGTTATATTAATAGTGTTATACAAATCCCTGCCGAAAATGTTGTGCATTGGACATCATGTCATGTCCAGATTACACATGGGCGTCAAAGACCATAAAAATAATGTTCTTTAGGAGGCCTGAAAGGGAATTTCCTTTACTTCATTGAGGAAAAGTAATTTGGACTTCTAGGGTTTCTGGAGTGGGCCCTCAGCTGTGGTTGGAAGCTCTGTTTCAAAGGGGGCAAAGTATGCCATACCGCCATACGCAAATAGGACATACCCTTTGCTCCGCATACACGGAAGCTGGCTGAAAACATATAGAAGTGTCCTTCCCAAGGGTGGCATACCAGATTCTAAATATGTTGTCTTTGTAGCATGCTGTGTTGGTACGGTTTTATGGTATCTTTGAACGGAGGCGGCTAACCGTCTTTCATGAAACTCATTGAACTTCGCTGCTTATACCCAAGAATTTGGCCCGACCTCGCGCCCTAGAACAAGAACAAAACACCTCCAAGCATCTTGGTATCAGTGCCCGTGTAAGGCTCCACCGTCTCGGTCTCAATCACATTGCCTTTCCAGTTGATCGACTCGATTTTGATCTCCTCACCGTCTTCACCAACCCGTCGCACAGCACAGCAACATGGACCACGACGTCTGTAACAAGCTGCAACTGTGCCTTGGCACCTCACAACTCCAATGGCCTGGTTTTTCGGGATACTATAAGGTCCAGTTCTGCCAAGAGGTCATGAGGACCCGAGTCTGCACATGCTCTGGCACATGCTTCGGCGTCCTTCTTGGTCATGGTCAGGTCGAAGAAACCATACCTCAGTTTGGCTTTTTTCCGGAAACAAACGCAGAAGCCACAAGGAGAGTTCTGAGGTCGCATCTCCACAGGCAAAGACCAGACGCACAGCCATATGCGAATCGATTGAATTCTCGATCCCAAGAACTAATCTGACATGGCGCATGGCGCAACATGGTGATGATCTGTCCAGCTGGACTCGCCCACCTCTTTTCCTCACCGAAGCCACTTTGTTTTCACGCGCCAGTTCCATTTACCTCAACACCTCATGAAACTAAAAATATATATATTAGTGATAAAACATAAGCCGTACATATGCCATACATGGACCCCTTTTCAACCACCCATGGCCGTGTCTGTGGCGAAAAAGAGGTCCGTCCCGTCATCCGTCGTCGCCTCGCGCCCCAGGCCCGTCCGGCCCAGGCCGCTGGTAGTCGTCCGGGTTCTCTGGTTCCACGCTGTTCTCCGAGGTGATGCCGCCACCGCCGCCGGTGATGAAACACTTCAGGCCACCAAGCTTCTCCTCGGGTGCGGAAGAAGGGAAGGGAACAGAAGGGTTGCTGAGGGAATTCTGGAGCATGCTGCGGGGGCTTGGGGGGTTGCTGAATGAAAAACATCGAAAGGTGGGTGGGTGCTTAAGACGGAGCAATCAGACTCTCAAGACTAGACTGACACTCCTTGGCGTGGGGTTGGTGGGGTGAATTGGATTCAAGTGGGTTGGGGCGAAATTTTGGAGGCATGGGGAAGGAGAAAACCGGTCCGAGGATTGAAGAACACCTTTACCTTTACCTGCACATGTTTTCTGCAACAGCAGCTGCCAGCACCAGCCGCCTGGATGCCAAGATGCTGGGGACCAATACATCAACTGGTAATGTGCATGGCCGGTGACCAGGAGATCCAGGCCATACCTGGTATGACGTGCGGACTCAAATTCCACCACTCCACCGGCTCAACGGCTACTCAACGGGGAAAGCATTCTTGCGCTGTCCTGCATGGAAACCATACGCTCCGTAAATGGAAACCATGCATGTCCCTAACAAGTATGCGCGTCCTACATGCTGCACTGGTAACGGAATTGCACACTTGCAACTGGACTTCCGTTGCTGTTGCACATTCATGTCAAAAGTCCCCACCAGGGAACAATTTTGGGTTTGCCTGACCTTGTCCCAGTCAGCACACTCTGCTAAGCGGCAACACTCCGCACAAAATTATGGATATGGACATCACGTCATCAGTCAAGGGAAAATTCAAGCAAGAGAAACAAGAGTGGACATGGACCATGGACATCAAGGAAGGGAAATAAGGGAATCAACGATGGCGGCCTGCACCCTTGCACAATAAGAGGATACCAGTCTTGAATCTGCGAGGAACCTCTATAGTGAGGACAAAAAGTCAATTTCCCCCTCTGCAACAATTGTGTGTTGCCCTTCTAGGTGTTGATCCTGTAATGCCATCCAGGATAGATAGAGGTCCATTTGACATCGGGGCACTTCAAGTGAAGTTCCTTGTAGAACTTGGTCTTGTGCCCACAAGGGAAGTGCGTCACCTGCAGGGCACCGAGGGCTGCCCCATCGCCAATCTTTTGCAAGTCCGAGCTGACATCTGTGGGGCGGCATCTTCTTGGTTCAAGGCTCTTTACTGGCACCCAAACATGAGAATTAGAACATAGCTTTCTTCACATATGACGATGCGCTCCTGTACCAACAATGAACCATGCTGCTCACCTGTCATGCTTGTCTGATGAGCAGTCTCTACTGTCGGACCAAAATCGTGAGTAAGCGATTTGGAAAGTAAGGCCCTGTGCAAGTCCGGTGCTTTTCGAACATGCCAGCCCTTCACAACGGAATTCAATCCAAATGACAACACTCCACTTGACTTTCGCTGAGACCACATCTTGATCCTATACAGTTGGCGTCAACTCCCCATCCTCTGCTGTGGAGGGGCCATGATTTGCCAATCAGCTTCAGACTTCTGCAGCTTCTCAGTGGCCCAAGCGGCACCTGTGGCCACTGGCAGCGTGGCCAGGCGGGTGAAATGATTGCGGGAGCGGCCTCATTCAATGATTGCCTCATCAATAACTTTGGTAGGGGGGTTTTATTGATCAACAGTCCGCAGTATGGCCCTTGCCCAGCCTCCTTTATAGACTCTTGTGGATTGCCGAGGCTGAATCTGGCTGCTCTAGCTCCTCTGTCAGCTACAAGCAGTTCCGAACATGTCATAGGCTCGATATGGCTCGATAGGCTTGTGTATTCATCAATATGGATTCATTTGAAGCATCGGAATGGCCCACCCTCCTATACTCGGCCTTCATCCCAAAGCTTCTGGAACCAGTCATGGCACTCTTGGATGCTTGAGGGGCCTCCGATCCTCGGATGCATCTGACCGAGGCCAACATCATCCAGCATCTATCATCATGTTTTGTCTCCAAACCTCTTCAAAGCTAAATAGTGGGACAGTCTCAAAAAGACTCTGATTGTATGGCCAGAGTAAATCGATTCCTGTTCCAGATACTTCTTGATCAAGCTGTTTGAAGAACACATGCCGCGGCGACCAATCTCTGGGGGTCTGCACAAGCTGAACAACCCGCACTCAATCCGCTCCGCTTGTCCATCCATGTCCCCCAGGCCGTCGCGGTGCTTGGCACAGCTGGAGCCCGGTGGGTTGTGCATGGCGCCGCAAATGTTGTGCTCCGGGTTGGCGCTGGTGTCCTCGTCGGCGTCCTCAATGTTCGAGTCGATCCTCAGGAGCGGCTGATGGCACGGACGAGCTACTGACGGTACGAACGCATGGACGATCGCATGGGAGGAGTGCGGACTGGTTCTGGGGAACCTTGGCTGTGAAAGTACATTACAGAAATTCAGACAGAATGAGAGAGAGAGAGAGGGAGATGTGACAGACAAGAAGAAACGTGCCCGATGATTCACAGGGTGGAGGCAGCCCCGAAAGCACAAGCAACACCGATCCTAGATGTCCAAAGTGTTGGAGGTACCTGCGGGCAAGGAGATCAAAAGCTGGGGAGCTCACTCCTTTTTCGCTCTCTGTCAGTGCTTCAACGGCAAAATAAGGCAAGTCAGGTGTTGGGCCCCAAATAAGCTCCAACACGAAATATAGCCAAGGTAGCTCAGCTCTGAGATTGATGGCCTCGGTGAGGTCTGGGTTCCCATCCAAAATGGGAAAGGTTTGGAGTTGGCTCAGAAGGCCCTTGACTGCCTTTGACCCCCCAAAATGAAAGGCTTCTAGATCCTGCAGCCTTTCTGCAGGTCCACGTGTTGACCTACGGAAGAGCAGAGTGGTGGGGCTACAATCCAAGAAACCCTTTTCTGGGTTCAGTGGCATCAGATGTCACCAAGCTACCCGCTGGTTGAGAGAGGAAGTGTCTCAAGACATCTGAAGGCTTGACGGTTCAATCCCTGTTTCATCCTCTATAGTCTCATGTCCTTTCACTGTATGATGATGTCAAATATCAAATATAATATGACATGCACCCAACTAGTATGGCAACGCCTCCTAGCTTGCCAGTGCACTGACTACTGGAAGTCCATCGCGGAATCTGGCGTCACCCCACCGCACCTTCGCAAAGATCGCGGCCAAGCTTCCGAGAGGGACCCTTCCGGTCGAACCCACGGCCGCGCACAATCAGCCGCGTGTGCCAACCATGCGGTCTAGACCACCACGGTGGCCTGAGACTTCACGATGGGATAGGACGGCTGATCCTTGATGCCGCACTCGCCATCCTGAGGAGCGGTGGATGGGGAAGTGGTCGGTATCCTTGTGTGGCAACACTGCGAAGCATTGGTCGGTCTTCTTGGGCAAGTCATTTGGCTTTTGGGACTGGGTCCCCAAGTGTTGCCACATCTGTCTGTTTGTCTTGTCTGCCACTCTCGGCAGATAAGCAAAAAGTTTCAATTCCCACCATTCTCTGAAGTCCACCCCAAAAAATCCCTTCCAAAACCAACCACTTCGATTCAAATCCACTCATCCAAGTGCTCGTGCTCAACACCGGCCCATCTCTCACGCCACACCACCGCTCCTTCGGCACACCACGCTTCAAACCTCGGTCGGGTCGGTCATGACCCGTCGACTGCAGTCAGTGCATGGGAACCACTGGAATGCATGGATCTGCCACAAAAGAACTGACTTGGGAAGATGAACTAACTACGTGTGTTTTGTTTTTGTTTTTAATGAGTTTTGTTTAAACATATCATATCAGCACCTTCCAATCACGCATGGAACCCCCCACCCACACGCTACTTATGGATCTCCATTGGACACCCCGAAAGGAAGGTCCAGGTGGATGAAGCGTCCATCGTTTGCAGGCCTATTAGTCAGGAGCCGACACGAGTGGGTCGAAGGTTAGGGAAAAGTAACCCTGAAACCGAACAGTCAGCGCTGAAGGGTTTGAAGCACTTGAGTTGGACATAGCTGGACACATCAACTCCTTTCAAAACGTAGGTGACCGTAAGTGGCAATGCTTGCCAAACAAGCAAGCGGTCCAAACCTGTGAAATCATCCTGACAACTCATCTGCGCGATGATACAAAGAACCACCATACGAGAGAGGTTGCCATTGCAGACTTAACCCCTCTTCCTTCCACTTGAAGCTTTGACTCTGTTTCAAGAGCTGGTTCTTGGATCACCCACTTGAAGGATCAACATCCGGTGGACTCGGCAACCTCCGGTGGACTCACACCATGCGGCACCCGACTTCGGCCCCAGGCACGGATGTAGCCCTCTTCGCCCCAGTTGGCACCCCAGCTGTTCTTCACCTTCCAATAGTCCACACCGTTGTCAGTGCCATAGCCCACCAACAGCACTCCATGATCCAACTTCGTACCACCTCAGTTGTGACATGACACGACAGCAGTCATCGACATCTGACAGCCACGGCTGTCTGAAGCTCAAACAACAAAACCACTTGATACATGATCAACGGTCATTGATGGTCGCTGAATCCTTCCCATTCCTGTTCGAGTTGAGTGGGAAACACGCCCAAAACATCTCCAAATCGCTCGCTCGCACCCGGTTCTCACCGCACCCATCACCGGTTCTCACCATGGCACACTCCTGGCCGAGGATGCCTCCCTTGTAGAGTTGGAAGGCCTCTTGATCTGCCTCAATGGCCACGGAGACCGGTTGCTGCGCCACGGCCTCCATCAAGGCATCCAAGTCCTGCCGGAGGCCAAAGGAACCGGATGCCAACCCCTGTCCTACAAATAATGATGACAGATGGAAAGGATTGATACTTGTGATGGCGAGGTGAGGTGAGGTGAGGTGAGGTAATGATCCATCTTTTGGATCGCTCGCTTGCTCCTTGGCAGAGACGTCGTGAAAGCCAGTGATGGAGCCCTGCGGCACACCCACCTTGCAGGAGCTCTCCTGGCAGGTGCCCTGGGCAGCCTGGTAGGGGTAGCTGTCTTCGGTGCAAACGTTCTTCCTCAGGAAAGGTGAGCGGACAGGCCTGTGAAACTCCGTGAAACCAAACAAAAACAGTATGGTTTAGTCAAATGCCGAAGCACCCAGCGTATTGAAGCAAGGCCAAAACGGGGAGATTTGTGGGTATGCATTGGGTCTATCCTATTACCTGTAACAGTGGATGATGATGGCTAGTAGAGGCCTTGTCCAAAAGTAGTGATAATCGTTTACTGACTGTTACAGGTAATAGGACAAACCCAAGGTGTGCATATGTATAGATGCCCCATTGAAGCAAAGCTGAGAAAGCAAATCTCATTCTGTCCACTATTCCATGCGTTTCCAGGGCCTACTTATATAACATATACAATATATATATAATATATATATATAATGAGTATCTCAGGACATCGTTCCTGGCACTCCATGTTTTCAGTGCCAGGTCACTTCTCCAGGTAGGAGAAAGCCAAGTCCATGGAGCCCCCCTGGCCAGGGAACGCCCGATTTCGTCACACGTCACGTCACGTCGTCTGAATCCGATCGACCCATTTCCAAAGCTGTACTTCCGCAAGGCCTTACGCATGTGTTGGAGTCCATTGATTTCATCACGTTTGGCCAGACATTGAGCAGGGGCGTCCCACACGTGGGCGGCCTGACATCCCTTGTTTCCATTGTCCGCGCAGTCCACCAACTGCTGCTCACTCAAGGACGTCAAGGTCCCGGTGGCGATCTGCCAGGCGCCCTCCAGGGCGCCCGTGGTGGAGAAGGACCAACCTGGAGCGGGGTGGACACTCCGTGGCACCTCAAGGGGAACCCCCGGGGTCTAAGTCGAAGAATGTCAAAAGACTGCGGCCTTCGAACATGCAGACGTGCCCAGAACAATAATGCAGCCAGCAACTTTATATCAGTAATATATAGTAATATATAATTGCCGGGGTTAGCCCAAAATGAACAATGCAAATCTAGATCAAGAACATGCCAGCGAACCCTGACAAGGGGATTCAGTCTACGAACAAAATCACAGCCCTGCTGCAAGTCACAAGAGCCGCAGCTGCCCTGGTTCTTCCTTAGGCACGCGCTCAGGCAAGTGTAAACTTCCGGTGAGCTTTGTGATGAATCACCCTAAGTATTTCTGACACCAATATCACTGCAATCACTCATAAGACATCATTAGTTATACATAGCATTCTGCTCCTTTCAGATGCACACCTACTGCCAGAACACCCCAGAACCATCCAGAACCCATGTGTGGCCATGCACTCCACAATACCCCCATCTATCCACATCGATCCACTCCACATGACCTCACCTCATCCCCACCCTGCCTGACCCTCCCATCCCCCCGTGACCCCGAGCGAGCATCGGATCGGTCACGGCGCCCTTGGAGACCCAGTCCACCGCATCCGGCACCGCTGCACCGGTGGCCTTCGCGCGGCCCAGGTAGGGCAGCGTTCCCCACTGACGTCCCTTCGGCTGCGCCATGCAACCCACGTGGTCCAAACGGAACTCCTCAGTGGAGACGTGGCGAATTGGAGTTGCCTTGGGATCTTTGGGGGTATGGACGATTGGCTGATGGGTAGTATGATGGTATGCAAACGCCTTCTTAAATCGAACTTCACCACTCCCAACACATCAACACCTCTCCATCTTTCACATATATGTTCACATCGCATCACGAAACGAACGAGTTCGTGGAACGACCCGCTCCTCCGGCTTCTGGTCTGCGAACTCGGTGATGCCCAAGGTGTAGCTGTGGTTCTGCGCATTGTGGGCCTCCTGGGCGCCGCGGACTTTCGTCGGAACTCAGGCCCGTCGGGGCGGCCCAGGAGGGAAGATCCAGGTATCAGCTGCTCGGCCATGTGGGTAGAGGAGAATTCAGGAGAACTCTACTACAAATGATAGCAAGTTAAATCAATATTATATAACTACACATAATAGATCACATGGCAATAACGTTTATATTTTATTTTTTATTTGGTAATGTTGTTAGGGGGTGGTTTGGGGGAGGTTATGGACGTTATGTTATGAATGTATGAAAAGATCTCCCGTGTCACGATTGATCTTGTATGCTTGATGCTCTATGTATGTTCATTCTTCCATACATGAACCATTCGGAACGCCAGTCCGAACACTGCGCTCCGGGGCATGACTGCAGATCTTCCAATCCCCATGGACCAAAGCTTAAAGCCATGATTGCTCTTTCTGAGCTTTGACGTGGGGTGCCACTGGGACACCAGGAAGTTGAACAATTCAAAGTTTTTTGATGCATACGTGGACAGACAAGAACAACAACAAGAGATTGGAGGACTGGTTTGTGTGGGATCCTTCCTTGGTTCGGCGCTGTTGGGCGGCTGGAAGCACCATGGAGCTCTCTCACTCTCTCTATTTCTCTTTGCCAGGCTTTAGGGGACTTAGAAGACTTGTGGGTAGAGGACGCTACTAGGGGCTCCTAGCATCGCTACTAGGAGGAAGGACGCTACTAGGCTTGTTGCCAGGTCACAATGCGCTGCAAGTTCTTGGCGAAGATGTCGAAGCGCTGCATGCGATCGTCCGCGGTGGCGTAGTTCTTCTCAAATTTGGTGATGAAATCTTCAAATGCCTGGCCCAAGCCAAGGATGTCACGGATCAGGCCTCTAAGTCTTACGTCTAAGACATTCTAAGCTCCAAGCAAAGGATGTTACTACCTGGCCACCTGGGGAAGCAATCTGAATCTCATCGCCCAGCCCCCAGGTCCGCTGATTCTGGAAATGAATCAAGGCGTAACGACGCACATGGCACCCCGGCTGTTGTCCATATTTGTTGATCTCATCTCTAAGAGTGATCAATCTTGCTTTGCACCATCTACTCTGAGCAGTAACTTCCCATCCTTTCTATATATAAATGCTTTGTGAACCCCCTTTGCTATGCCTCTCGCACTACCAGCTGAAACCAACCGAAGTCGGCTTCCTGCCTTGGTGACATCTGTCTCCCCCTTGCACAGCCCAAAAGCCAGCAATGCCACAGCCTTCATGGATGCCATAGCAAGTCGAGGGATGTTGGATGGTCGAGGATCGCAACAGCTTGAGCCTGGAAAGCCTTTCAATGCCGCGACCGAATCAAAACGTGTTCAGCACGCCAGACTTGTTCGTGTTCAGCCCCACCGGCTGCCTTTCTCCACCGGAAGAAGCTGAGACGTTCCACGCGCCATTCAGAACAGCGCCCGGTCAAGGCATGGAACCCCTATAGCTAACGCAAGACGATGGGATGGATGATGTTCGACTGGCCAAGTGATTGAAAAACAATAGAACGTGATATAACGTGCATGCCGCATGCCACGTACATGATATTCTTCTGGGTTGTGAGCACATGACACGGGCCAGGCTCGAGCCTTTTGATGCCTTTTGGGCCTTCTCGCTGCAGCTGAAAGTCAAATAGATCTCGGCGGTGAAGCCCTGATCCACATAGTCAACCGTCTGCATCCAGTAGGGAGCTGGCAAAACCCATCGTTTGCCTGGGAGGCAAGGCCAAGCGATGGGTGGCGGCGACCATCGCTTTGCCAAGCGATGGGGCCATGATCGCTAAGCCCTCGGCCATCGCGTCTGGTCTATTAACCCCATTTCATCTACGTGACCTCTTTGAAGTCTCTACGTGACCCTCTTTGACGACCTCGTCCGCCCGGATGAAGTCCGGTCACAAACTGAACCAGCTACTCCAATCTACTCCATGTTTCTTGGTGCTTTCCGGTCGTGCCCTGTCTGACAAAACGATTCGTCGCGAACGCATCGTCTTGCATCCAGAGCGGCTCACCCAAGTGTAGGCGATCCTGAGTGGTACCGATCACACCCCGGACCACGATCGGGCGAGCCCGGGCTCGGTGCTCAGGTATGCTCAGGTCATCCGAATGAATTGGTGTCAGACCCAAGCACTTCGCATAAGCAACTAACATGCTTCGCCAAAAGAGTTTTGTTTTCATGGACTTGATCGTTACACTCCCGCACATATGTGGAAGTGGAGATCCCACAAGGGCCTTCACACCGGGAACTCCAAAGGCACATAGCCAGCCACCTTTCATGTTAGGGAAACCGAAAAATATGTCAGCAAAACTAACATGGAAACCGCCAGAGATGCCTCCCCCTGACACTCTTGCAGCACTAATATGGAAGCCATGCGTGTATTCTGTAATCTGTTGTTGGGCTCCCATGATAGTGAAGTGTGGACTGAAGCTGTCAGCGCACTCTGTACAGCAAGCATATACATGTTTTCCAACCGGGGCCCGAGAGTCTGAAGCCTCAAAAGGCCTGCGAACGCGGACTTGTTTTCTAGGCCGCCGATGCACCCGATTGTAGCATAACATATGCTTGTTCTTCCGAAACAATATAGAACACCAATCGCAGACCCCATGGAATCCCATTCCCGGTTTCAATTGCTCCTTCTTCTGTTCGGGTTGCTGGAAAAGGGAAAAGAGACTGGCTTTAATTGTCATAAGAATCATGTGGTGTGACCTGGTGCGAATTGACAGCCGCCTGCAATATGTTTCCTTTCTTCCTTCTCTTCCGTACACTTGCGGATGCCTCCGGCTACTTATAATTTTCACGGAGACTCAGCCAATTACAAATTCTCAAGCCCACCTCCAGTCACAAGTTTTGAAGCTGTCTCTTTCTCAAGTACCAAGCTCCGTGATTGAACACTGACGTCCCCCGCACCCCCCATGAAAGCAATGTTGAAGGCGTGTTTTGGGGGTGGCCGCTTTGTTTCAGAACATCTGTAACAGTAACATTGATGACAAGGGGGTATGGGGTGTTGTACTGGAGATGTAAAACAGCAACCATAGTAACATTGATTACAAGGGGGCATGGGGGGTTTGTAGTGAAGAAGTGTAACAGGAAACATCCATGTGGCTTGTTTTGGGAAAAGACTGTTTTGAGAGTAGCCTATTGAATTGCCAGGTCTGGGTGTCAACTCTTTCTCAGGAGGGTGGCTCGAAAGTGGTCACTGCATGCGCCATCGCCCAACAGCGACATAGCGGCTCGTGTGATTTTGCTGTTGATTCAAAGTCGGAGAACTCGCGTAAGAGGAGGATTTGGCGTTCGTCCTCTCATGGTGGGGGACAATTGTCTCAAT